TTCATCAACTCCTTGGCTACCCAAATCTATGTGTGCAGTCCAGGCATAATGCAATAATTTATGCCATGAAGTTAACAAAGGCCACACTTTGACAGTGTGATCTGAGGATTTGTATACATGCAAGGGTTTAATGATGTCAATGCAACCAAAATAGCACAGCTTCCATTCATGTTGGAGTCCGATGTGCATAGGTATTAGGAACAATGGCATTTGAAATATTTTATCCAGAATAGGGCACAATGATGCAACTGCTGTGATAATTCAAAACCCAACTGTGCAATTGCCTTAGTTATTGAGAAAGCCATTAAGCATCTATTATTACAGATCTACTTACACATAATGAGCAACCTGTGCCAGAAGTCAGCAGAATGTTGGTGTTCTAATCAGGGTCAGACCAAGACATTTTCCCACTTCAAGTGGCTCATCGCAAGGTCCAATAGTTGAGCCTTATCTTCTTCAGCGGCAGCTAGACTGGTGACTGGGAGTGGTTGCTGAGACCATATAACACCAATCTTGAAAGACCTACATTGGCTCCCATTACGTTTCCAAGCACAATTCAAAGTGTTGGTGCTGACCTTTAAAGCCCTAAACGGCCTCCGCCCAGTATACCTGAAGGAGTGTCTCCTCCCCCATTGTTCAGCCCGGACACTGAGGTCCGGCTCTAAGAGCCTTCTGGCAGTTCCCTCATTTCAAGGTTGCAAGGAACCAGGCAGAGGGCCTTCTCGGTAGTGGCACCTGCCCTGTGGAACGCCCTCCCACCAGATGTCAAGGAAATGAGCAACAGTTTAGAGAGAATGAAGAACTTCCTTCACCTGGAAAACTTGGTTTTGCTTCATGAAATTGTATTTACTTTGGACAGATTTATACAGCACACACACAATTCAATGAATGTTGTATTTAAGGTCACAGTACCCTTTAATGACCCCTTCATGGATCACTGCCTTGCCATGGCGAAGGGGCTTGAATAACTCAGAGAAGCTATGAGCTATGCCGTGCAGGGCCACCCAAGATGGACGGGTCATAGTGGAGAGTTTTTAAACGAGCAATGCAAAGAAATAGAGGAAAACAATAGAATGGGAAAAACCAGAGATCTGTTCAAGAAAATTGGAGATATGAAAGGAACATTTCGTACAAAGATTTCCATAATAAAAGACAAAAGTGGAAAGGACCTAACAGAAGCAGAAGACATCAAGAAGAGGTGGCAAGAATACACAGAGGAACTATACCAGAAAGAACTGGATGTCTCGTACACCCCAGGTAGTGTGGTTGCTTACCTTGAGCCAGACATCCTGGAGAGTGAAGTCAAATGGGCCTTAGAAAGCATTGCTAATAACAAGGCCAGTGGAAGTGATGATATTCCAGCTGAACTATTTAAAATTTTAAAAGATGATGCTGTTAAGGTGCTACACTCAATATGCCAGCAAATTTGGAAAACTCAGCAGTGGCCAGAGGATTGGAGAAGATCAGTCTACATCCCAATCCCAAAGAAGGGCAGTACCAAAGACTGCTCCAACTACTGCACAATTGCACTCATTTCACATGCTAGCAAGGTTATGCTTAAAATTCTACAAGGCAGGCTTAAGCAGTATGTGGACCGAGAACTCCCAGAAGTGCAAGCTGGATTTAGAAGAGGCAGAGGAACCAGAGACCAAATTGCAAACATGCGCTGGATTATGGAGAAAGCTAGAGAGTTCCAGAAAGACATCTACTGCTGCTTCATTGACTATGCAAAAGGCTTTGACTATGTCGACCACAGCAAACTATGGCAAGTTCTTAAAGAAATGGGAGTGCCTGATCACCTCATCTGTCTCCTGAGAAATCTCTATGTGGGACAAGAAGCTACAGTTAGAACTGGATATGGAACAACTGATTGGTTCAAAATTGGGAAAGGAGTACGGCAAGGCTGTATATTGTCCCCCTGCTTATTTAATTTATATGCAGAATTCATCATGCGAAAGGCTGGGCTGGATGATTCCTAAGCCGGAATTAAGATCGCCGGAAGAAACATCAACAACCTCAGATATGCAGATGACACAACCTTGATGGCAGAAAGTGAGGAGGAATTAAAGAACCTTTTAATGAGGGTGAAAGAGGTGAGCGCAAAATATGGTCTGAAGCTCAACATCAAAAACGAAGATCATGGCCACTGGTCCCATCACCTCCTGGCAAATAGAAGGGGAAGAAATGGAGGCAGTGAGAGATTTTACTTTCTTGGGCTCCATGATCACTGCAGATGGTGACAGCAGTCATGAAATTAAAAGACGCCTGCTCCTTGGGAGAAAGGCGATGGCAAACCTAGACAGCATCTTAAAAAGCAGAGACATCACCTTACCAACAAAGGTCCGCATAGTTAAAGCCATGGTTTTCCCAGTAGTGATGTATGGAAGTGAGAGCTGGACCATAAAGATGGCTGATCGCTGAAGAATGGATGCTTTTGAATTATGGTGCTGGAGGAGACTCTTGAGAGTCCCATGGACTGCAAGAAGATCAAACCTATCCATTCTTAAGGAAATCAGCCCTGAGTGCTCACTAGAAGGACAGATCGTGAAGCTGAGGCTCCAATACTTTGGCCACCTCATGAGAAGAGAAGACTCCCTGGAAAAGACCCTGATGCTGGGAAAGATGGAGGGCACAAGGAGAAGGGGATGACAGAGGACGAGATGGTTGGACAGTGTTCTCGAAGCTACAAACATGAGTCTGACCAAACTGCGGGAGGCAGTGGAAGACAGGAGTGCCTGGCGTGCTCTGGTCCATGGGGTCACGAAGAGTCGGACACGGCTAAACGACTAAACAACAACACCCTTTAATGAAGATGTACTTTGTTGTGCCGAATTATAGTGCAGAATTTTTACTGACGTACTCCCAAGACTGGTGTGCTATGCTAAAATACACATGCAATAACATCTTGCTGACCAGATATTTGTGTATAATCAGTATATGGACAGTGAGGGAGGGATTGCCTCTGGTTCTCATTCCCTGCACACATGGATACAAGCCTGCACATGTTCACCTTGTATGCACCTTGAACACACATGGGCACTGTCCAGAGGTTGGAATAAACTGTGGATGTTGTGGGTACAGCCAGTGGGTGCGATTCCACTTTCCTTGGTCCATGTGTACACAGGGCTTAGGGCAATACAGGATGGCTTTGATTTGGTTTATATTTTGAGAGTGAGGCATGAATTTTTTAAAAAGAGGATTTTTGCCATTCCACGGGCATTTTACATACAAAGTAAAGAAAAAAAAGATTTTGTCTGTGCTTCTAGCTTGCCAGTGTTTTTCTCGCCCAAGTCAGAGCAGAATGTTTTATTACCAGAGCTGACCTTACCATAAAGTAACAGGGCACAATTCTGCCATTAGGCAAAACTAGGCTGTTGCCTCAGGTGGCTGATATTGCATGTCATGGAAGTCCAGTATGCATTCATTCATTCATTCATTTTACTGTCAAGTAGTGGGTAAGTTGGGATGGGTCGTGCAAGAGGTCCCTGCTTCGATCCTTGGTGTTTCCAGGTAGGGCTGCAAAGGATTCATGCCTGATGCTCTGCAGAGTGGCCATTGGCAATCAATGTCAATAGTACTGAGCAAGGTGCCTAAAGGATCTGACTTTGTCTGGGATAGCTTCCTGTGCTCCACCTGTGGGGTTTTCTGCCCAAGGTGCCAGGATAATTTGAGCAGCCTTAAATTCTCTTCTCCTTGACTTCAGCAGGTATTTCATCTCAGGTAACAAAACGACATGAAGCTGTGCCTGCTACAATATATAGCATTCCATTTTGTGGTAGTCAGTTCTAGGGGTGAAGACATTTTCCTTCTTCCATTATTCATCTCTGCATGACCTTGAACAGAAGGAGCTTTACTCTATAGCAGGGGCGATTATCGTACCATGTTTAAGTTTCGTTCACGATGCAAAACGGCTAAGCTATTATTGTTCTAAGATTTCTTTATAATCCTTTCCCTCCCTTGTGTTTTTTTTATGGACGGAATGATGACAGTTCTTTATTGCCTCTGCAAACTAAACTCAGAAGCACGTCAGCCTGGAAGACAAGACTCGTTCAAAAAAGAAAAGGGGGGGGGGAGCAGTTCACGAAATGTCAAAGTGCCTTTGGTGGTTATTTGCACTTTCACTTAAATTAACAATATGATTGCCAGAACAATGAGGTTACGTATTCACTGTAAAAGCTTTGATGGTTAAGTTGGCCGCTGACTTCATATCTATTGGGTTTTCTCCTTCCTCGCTCACATAATGATGCTTAGGGACCTTAAAGCACAACTCTATCCATGCTTATTTGTAATAAAGCTCCTCTGTGTTTGGTGGAACTTACCCAATACCTATCTCCTGTGTTTATTTTTGTGATCTACCCAGCACCAGGCTGAAAATATCATGCGCCTGTGACAACTATTAACACACACATATATATTAAATTCAGAATCAAGAAAGGGATATCAAACTTTCCTCTAGCCCAGCGGTTCTCAACCTGTTGGTCCCCAGATGTTGTTGTACTACAACTCCCATCATCCCCTTGCTAGCTAGGGGTGATGGGAGTTGTAGGACCCACAGGTTGAGAAAGGCTGCTCTAGCCCATAGGAGAAAGGATGGGTAACCTGTTGCCATCCAGATATTACTGTAGTACAACTCCTATCATCCATGCCCATTGACCATCCTGGCTAAGGCTGTTGAGAAAAGAAGTCCAACATCTTCTGCAGGGCTACAGGTCCTCTCTACCTGCTTTAGGGGATGCAGGCCCACTCAGCTGTACCTTTTTTATACTGAACTTTCTTCACCCTAGTCTAAAGGTTTTCTAGAATGTAGCATCTATGTCAAAAAGCGAAAGAAAAGTCTTTCTTGGCTCAGATTCCAAATATTTACTCATAATGATTCATGAAGTAGATGCTGAATGACATCAGTATACCCAAATCTCAATTGAAAAGTATTTTTTTGTCTTTTCATGCTGCAGCTGCTTTTCAATTACTGTGAAAGGTTATGAGTAAGTAGAAAAAAACATACTATTTAAAAGCAATTTATTTTCAGGAAGACTATCTCCCCTCATGGTAGATGAAGCAGCTCAAACACGTATAAAATGGGAGAGAACATTGCTAAAGCAATTTTAAAGATTCGTGCTAATGTGACTTTAAAATAATACCAAAAAATACCTGAATAAAATAAAACAAACTGCCCATGTTTGACATTCCCATGATACTTACTTCACACTGAGCAGATTATTTTCAACACAGAGTTAACATGAGAGTGCAGAGAGCAGTTTCCACTCATTTCTCTCTTTTACAAGAAAAGTAGTTGAGAGACGGACCAGCTAGATACAAGGCCTTTCATCAAAAGTCAGAAATGAAGCTAGAAATACACTGAACAGGAGGCCGTTAGAGGTAGAAGCTGCAAGGAGGAATCTTCTAATTAAAGTTGCAGGTGGTCTTTCCTGAACAGGAGATTTTTCTATTATGTTTACGCAGAAGTAAACCCTGGGCTCCTTTGGAGGAAGGTGTGAGGTATAAATCTAATACATCATCATAATCTTAACTATTACTTAGAAGAGGTATAACAGAGTATTTATGATAATCTGAAAAGGGGGTAATTAACTGTATAATATAGAATTATATTAAGTGCCTTGTGGAACTGCTATTTTATTTCTGCTTCTAATAGATTGAAGAAAAGCACTGCCTTTCCAGGGCCAAGAATCCTAATATAGAAGCAACAATTTTTTTCAGAGGCAAAATGCTGTAGTTTGAATATTAAGACAAGGTGCTTTCTCCAGAACATAAATTCTTCACTGAGAGTAGACACATGGATTCTCTGCAGCAGCAAATAACAAGGGCAACTTGCATAAACAAGTGAAAATATACAACAGGTAACAAACTATCATTTGAAAAAGACCTTTAGTGTTTATTGAAAATGAATAATTAGTGTGGTGACTCCATGCATTTGACACGCCTCTTGCTACTTTCCCAACTTTAAGGAAAGGACAGAAGCCATTAACACCCACACCATAGCATTTTTGATTCCTTAACTCCCACCCTATCCCTCACTTCTGGAATCAGCATGAAAAAGGATTATCCTTTTCGGTTAAATCGGTAAGTCAAAAAGAAGACCGGAAACAAATAAAATTTCTGACAATAATTTTAGAGTCAAACAAATGTTTAGTCTTCAATAACTTAATTGCCACTGAATATACAGTCAAAGTTCCGATTTTTAAATGGCAGGTTCTTCTCCCATGCAGTAGGAAAAATCCCTGCGATGTCTTTGGACGTACACAAAAAGCTGCACTCTTAGCTATGGATTTCAAAAGACAGGCAGGTTTCTTAGTTATATAAGTTAACAATTTCTGGCAGACACTGAAAATACTAGTCCATGGAATATATTATGTCCTTGCAATTCAGTTACAGAGGGAAACGGACAGAACTTGGATGCCCCTATTCACAGTAAGGTGGCGGTGCAAAGTAAGTTGTTGGCATGCAACCTGCTTCATGGTGTGCGCCTGATTTTGTCTGACAACATGATGTGCCGCCCTTTCCATCCCTCCTGGGAGCGGCAGGAGATGGCACTTGCCAACTGGCAAAACTTCCGCAGGAGGATCTTCCTAAGCAGCAGGTAAACCCAGGGGTCCAAGATCTGATTCAGTGAGGCCAAGCGGATAGCGGTCAAGAAGAAATTGCATTCTGTCTGCAGTTCTGTGCTTCGGGTGGAGTTGCAGGATTCTCTGCAATGATCCATAGAGGTGTGGTTGAACGTCACTTTCAGCATCATAATCTAAGGGAACAAGAGGGGAAATGAGTGCAGTAGAGACAGAGTCAATGATTTAAAGACATTCTTTGACATGGAACAATAGTCCACTTGACGGCATTCCCTGAAACCACTGCAGCCTATCAGATCAAAGATAGTCATGAGACCGTAGCACTACCTGCTTCAATTAGTTCTTACATGCCAATCCTCATTCCAGAAGGCTGCATTTATGGATGCCAAAATGTGACCTGGGCCATTTAATTTGATTTATGTCTCCCAAAGGAAGATAAGAGTTCACCTCACAATTTCTAAGGCTTGAGGTAGACCATGTTTTTTAAAAGAGTTGAGGGAGCTGTGATAGAGGCATTGCTGTGATAGAGGCACGCATCTCTTTTGTCCTATTGTCCTCTCAGTTGGACGCTCAGCTCTCTCTGTTTGAAGTTTTTGCAGGTTTTTTTCAGCACTGCAAAACCTGTAAACGTAAGGCAGCCATTTTGCATTTATAAGAATATTTGTATACCAGTATTCATTAAACAAACAAACAAAAATCAAAGCAGTTTATAACAGTCATACACATATACAATAAAAAATGGGGAAATTAAAAATCTGGGATCATCCCCTGCCCCCAGTGAAATATGTATTCTTAATTGCCTGCATAAGCTTGAAAGTACAGAAATTTTTTCAGCAGGTGTTCACAGGTCAAAACAGAAGGTGCCTACTGAGTCTATATTAGAAGAGCATTCCATAGGACTGAGCTGATGACACTAAGTTCACATCACCAACTTGGGAGATGACCTGTAGATGATGGCAGTGATTGAGCTGAGATATAAGGGTATAAGGTATGATGAGTCATGGACTGAGTGTGCACGCCATTCCTCTATCACACTCCCTTCAACAAACACTCTAGCATGAATCAAAACAAGACTTCCTCGGGGGGGGGGCGGTTTGGTGAGCTGCTGGCAGTTCTATCCTTGAAGTCAAGCTCAATTAATGAGCAACAACTATGTTGTATATCTGGGATTGTATCCAATAAGTTTTACTCGGAGCAGAACCAATGAAATTAATGGGCCCAAAGTTGCCCAGGCCCATCAGTTTCAATGGGTCTACTTTGAGTAGGACTAACCTTGGACATAACCCCTGGAATTTTCCATCACTTCCAAATTAATAAGGGACAGAAGGAGGAACGAAAGCACCATTCTGTGCCTATGTTGTAAGTCCATTTCCCTCATGTAATAACCATAAAATGTTATCAGCATTTACAACAACTCTGCAATCCAACTCTTATTTTATACAACACAGACAAACATGGGGTACCTTCTGATGAAAGGCAAAGAGGTATTTATTTTTCCATGGATTAGTTGGCATTCTTTCTTCTATTTTCCCTTCACTAAGCTCTGCCTATAAAAACACAGCTGCCATATATTTTAGTGCCTTTTAAAAGGTACTTGATCAGTTTCACCCATTTTAAGGTCCACCGGGTTCTCTGGCAAAATATTTCCCATACTTAAATAGTAAGAAATTAATCCAAAAGCCCATGTGGAGTATTCTAAAGTGCACCTGTTGTTCATTTACTATGCCCCAAACGCAGTATATTTTACAATGGCAATAATGAAAACCGAATTAGCATTTTAATGAACATAAAGGAAAATCAATTATATTGCCTGGGTTCACTAATTGGCTTGGCCATTCTGCACAAAAGAAAGCATTTGGGCTGAAAATTCTGAATGGTACTTTTATTAAAAGGGCTCTTTAGAGACTCGGCTGATATCACCCACATTATTTGGCTGTTCTGCTGCACATTATTCACACCGCATGGAGGGGGAGAGCAGGGCTGTGCCCACCGCCATGACCCCGCTGGCCCCCGTCCCAGTGCGAACCCATCGGAGGAAGGTCTGAAGAGGGGGAGGATGCTCTATATGAGTTAAGTTGTAGGTGAACATATCAGACAACACAGCGATTCTTCAAACAGCTCTTGTTTATTCACAGGCCAGAACAGAACTGAACTGAAGGGTTCAGCCAGCCTGCTTATATAGAGCTCCACTACAACGCAACAGTAACCACTTTCTGTAACTATCCAATCACTGAACATCACTTTCAATCCCTTATTTGCATATGTGGACCTGAGTGAAAACTATCTACAGTATCCCTCTGCTGGCCCAGGGTGAGAACTTCAGTACATAACAATATGAACCATGATTAAGCAGAAGGCAAATTTCACAGCCAGCCCACAATGCTGGGAAGGCTGCACAACTTTTGTTATGAAAACAGAGGGTTGGATCCAGAGTTAACTGCATGTAATGTTGCTAGCACAGCTACCATTTACCCTGGTAGCAGGCAAGGAAGCAGTACTGCCACACTGCCAGAATATCCTAAGAACATAAGAAGAGCCTGCTGGACCAAGCCAATGACTCTATCTAGTCCAGCATCATATTCTCACAGTGGCCAAACAGGAGGCTTGCCATAATTCCCGACACCCGCAAAGTTGCTGAGCTTATAAACCCACCAAAATTGTTTAGCTTTTTTTGAGAACAAACCCAAATTTTTGAGCTTTGGGTGGGGGTACCTCCCCCCCCCAAATAGTGATTTTTAAGCTTTTGGAGTTGTTTCTCCAACTTTTTGGAGGGCCTTCTCTGTAGTGGCTCCCACCCTGTGGAATGCCCTCCCATCAGATGTCAAAGGAATAAACAACTATCTGACGTTTAGAAGGCATCTGAAGGCAGCCCTGTTTAGGGAAGCTTTTGAATGACTGATGTTTTAATGATTTTTAATCTGTTGGAAGCCACCCAGATAGGCAGGGTATAATTAATTATTATTACTACTACTACTACTACTACTAATAATAATTTCTGCTGTTTTTTCCATCGCGTTACCATGCATACTGGGTTGCCCCTCACCACCATTTTTACACCCGAAAACCAGGACATGTCAGGAGCTTTCCTGACATATGGCAAGCCTGCGGGAAACCTGCAAGCAGGAGCTGTGCTCAAAACCACTCTCTTCTCCTGTGGTTTCCATTGCTGCCTCCAAGCAGTGTTCGAAATTAGCAGGGCGCTAGGTGCATTTTGTGACTAAGAAATCCCTGATTGCGAACACTTCCAAAAGCACAGTACAGTGGTACCTCGGGTTAAGAACTTAATTCATTCTGGAGGTCCGTTCTTAACCTGAAACTGTTCTTAACCTGAAGCACCACTTTAGCTAATGGGGCCTCCTGCTGCCGCCGTGCCGCCAGGAGCACAATTTCTTTTCTCATCCTGAAGCAAAGTTCTTAACCCGAAGTACTATTTCTGGGTTAGCGGAGTCTGTAACCTGAAGCATATGTAACCTGAAGCGTCAGTAACCTGAAGCGTCTGTAACCCAAGGTACCACTGTAGTGGTATTTGGCGCCTGGCTGAGACTCAAGATGAAATTTAAAAATGCTGCCGCTGGCCATTGCCTCTCTGCAGGCAATGCAACTTATATGGCTTTCTACTGCAAATGCATACAGCTTTTTCACTCTGCTCAATCTCTTGCTTATATATAGAGGCAATATTAATATTGTTCTGTCTAAATAAAACCACCAGAAAGCATGTTCTTTTTAATATGTGTGTCTCGTGTGCCTGTATGTATGAGATGCATTTAATTAGAGCACATACGCACACCATTTTCTGAAAAAAAGCATCTTTTAAAAAATGCATCACCTCCATTCTGAAGAAGGTTCAATGATTGATCAGAATTCCTGTGTTCCATTTCCAAAAGGCAAAATGATTTATACATCTCAGGAATGTAAAAATTTGACCACTGTGTAGTATAAAAACTCAAAACCTTTAAAATCACTGTATGTTGCTTCTGAGTTTTGAGCAGACTAGTACCACTTCTTTTATGTTCTGCATAACATAGTTAACATACAGTAGATAAGTCAGAGACAGACCATTTCTAAATGCGCCAACAATGTACATCTTAGATTAACAGAAAATGCAGCAAGGGGAAAGGAAATAAACATAGCAAGAGATAATGTTGATATTAGATGCACTTGGGAATAGCAACAGACTTATTAATGTCTTATTATTTTTAGTAAATTGAGCTTAGGGGCAAGAGGCAGGAAGAGAGACTGAGGCCGAGTAAATTTATTATAACTGGGGTGGCTTAATCGAATGAATCTTTTAGGTCCACGTGCATGTTGGTATTCCTGAGCTGAATCCAGGAAAGGTACAAAGTCCTTCTCCTCCCTTTAGATGCTTATTGGAATTCTGTGACCAAGCAGTGATCAGGTCAGGTGAATGAATTCAGTCTACTCTGAGAGAAGGAAAGCTTCTGTTCAATCACAGAGTACCTCCCCCTTTAAAATTCAAAGAAGACAGGTATTTATTTATTTTTTACACATTATAAAACTGGTGCATGTGGTGCAAAAAATCTCAGGTTGAATCAGTGTCATTTGGAAAGGGGTGGGAAGAGTAAGTGCAGGGAAATAACCAGAAGGGCTGCATATGAATATGTGTCAAGGTGGCAAAAAGGCAGTTATGGCAGCTTGCTCATCATGTGGATCATGCGGTTCAAGCAGCGACTACCACAAGTGAAGCATGAGTATATGCTCGTTCCAGTTTAAAGGAAGCTCTCTCTTTCCTATATTTTAAAAAGGTAAAGGTACCCCTGACCATTAGGTCCAGTTGCTGACAACTCTGGGGTTGTGTGCTCATCTCACTCTATAGGCCGAGGGAGCCGCCGTTTGTCCTCAGGCAGCTTCTGGGTCATGTGGCCAGCATGACTAAGCCGCTTCTGGCGAACCAGAGCAGCTCACGGAACCGCAGTTTACCTTCCCGCCAGAGCGGTACCTATTTATCTACTTGCTCTTTGACGTACTTTCAAACTGCTTGGTGGGCAGGAGCTGGGACCGAACAACGGGAGCTCACCCCGTCGCGGGGATTCGAACCGCCGACCTTCTGATCAGCAAGTCCTAGGCTCTGTGGTTTAGACCACAGCGCCATCTGCGTCCCTTCCTATATTTTACCAGTGCTCAATTTAGAGGGGGCACTTTACCTTCTATGATGGCTTCCTTGGCTATTGCTTTCAGAAAGCTATGGGTGACATAATTTGGCTAGGACGTGTAGCTAGGCAGCGGTGTAGCTAGCCACTCAGATGCCCGGGGCGGTGCAGCCGAGGGCAAAGCGAGCCAAGGCAGGGCGCGCTGCGTGGACCTTCTCTGCAGCATCCCTCTCAGCTGTAGGGTGGCTGAGGCGGTGGGCAGACGCAAGCCCCACACTGCTTGAAGGAGGAGAGCTGTTGAAGTCTACTAGCCGAAAAGGCTGTGCTCTGCCTGCAAAGTTGGAGGCAGCAAACTTCTGGTTTCCCGAAATCACTCAAGGGGAGAGTGGTCCTGCAGTTGCGTAGGAAGGGGCGTGCGATGGGTACGGGAGTTATTTTTTCAAAAACACATATTTTTGCCATTTTGTCACCCCCCTCAGTGATGACACCCGGGCGGACCACACCCACCACACACACCTTCCTACGCCACAGGATTCAGGGGTAGGAAATCTTAAAATCTTCCTTAAGCGCAAGCCCCAACACGTTGCCTTTCTCAAGACTGTTCAATGGAACTGGAGTAACACAACTGGGCCTTGTACGGATCTGAGAAGCAGCTATGCAAAAGCAACAGTCACGAGTGGACTCCTGTGTTTAGAAACAGAGTGGAGTCCTATCCTGGCACAGACATAAAGCAACAAGTCACACAAACCCTGCCCCATGTTAGTCTTAGATTTCTCTAGACTGGACACTTAGGCTCTCTGGAAATTTTACACCCCATCGAAACAAAAGGAATTTTAATCTCTTCCCCAATAATTTCAGTACTACAGTTAATGGTACAGTGGTACCTCAGTTTAAGAATGATTTGGTTTACAAACTCTGCCAAACCGGAAATAGTGTCTTGGTTTCAGAACTTTACCTCGGTCTAAGAATGGAATCCGAACACTGGAAGGGCACCAGCGGAGGGAGGCCTCATTAGGGAAAGTGCGACTCGGTTTAAGAACGGTTTTGGTTTAAGAACGGACTTCCAAAATGGATTAAGTTTGTAAACCAAGGTACCACTGTACTTTGGTTTCCATTTCCCTAGTCTCCCTCCTTTCATCTCATGTTGCACCCCATTATGTGGCAATAACTCCCATTTATTCCTCTGGGTTGGGTTTGGCAAAAGCTTTCAGGAATCATGGTTTTTCAGTATGTGAACACATTAGATTCAGGTTTGATTGGGCATTAAAAATGGTTTTGTAGGAAAAGAAATATAGGAAATAGAAAATGGTTGTTTCTATTCTAGAGCCTGAAGGCACTAGAGAAACAGGCAGGAGTGTGTCATTTGCTACTGTGCTAAGTTCAAATTGTTATGTGAATTTCCACTCATGAGACACCTGGGTAGCTTTTGTCACACTATCAGAAAAAGAGCTTTCTCTCTCTCTCTCTTTTGTTGTCTTGTTGATATTCACCTTGAAGAGCTTTCATCCAGCTGTTGGCTGAGTGTGGTTGTGACAAGCACAGAAAGCAACTGTTAACACAAAGGCCCAGTGAACAGCAATTATGAGCAATGAACAAAGGGTAATTAAAAATGAGGGGGTTTATCCACATTGCATCTGTTTGCATAACTCCCTCAGAGCTGCGAATTCACTGAAGTGTGTGTAAAGCAGGGGTCAGCAAACTTTTTCAGCAGGGGGCCGGTCCACTGTCCTTCAGACCTTGTGGGGGGCTGGACTATATTCTGAAGAAAAAAAATGAAGAAATTCCTATGCCTCACAAATAACCCAGAGATGCATTTTAAATGAAAGCACACATTCTACTCATGTAAAAACACCGTCCAGGCCCCCAAAATAACCCAGAGATGCATTTTAAATAAAAGCACACATTCTACCCATGTAAAAACACACTGATTCCCGGACCGTCCACGGGCCAGATCTGGCCCCCGGGCCTTAGTTTGCCTACCCATGGTGTAAAGCAATTTCCAGAATGGAAGAAAATAATTACAGCAAAATTAAAAGATCTAAAGCTGTAGGCCTAGAGCCCTGAACCTCATAGGAAACCCCCTGTTGCTAGCTAGGGACAAGCAAAATAACATTCCCCACACTTCAAAATGCCTTGCTGCATAGTTCAGACACCAGTTCCTACATTCCCTAATTATACCCCTTCTTCCCCTGGCTTTGGTGATTTCACCCTGCTTGCATGGCAAGGCCATGGCGAGATATATTTGACACATTCTCACTAAAGTCCAAGGACACAGCATCTCAAAATCATAGAATTGTAGAGTTGGAAGGGTTGGAAGACATAGCTCAGTAGTACAGCATCCACTTTGCATTCTGAAGGTCGTAAATTCAATCCCTGGCATCTCCACATAGTGCTAGGAGATTACCAATGAGAGCCCCCACTAATCAATGTAGAAAATCCTCAGCTAGGTGGACCAATGGTTTGACTCAGTATAAGCTTCCTATGGTTCCCAGAGCTTATGTTGAGAGAGAGAGATGCGCCTGTTCTGATGCTTTCTTGGTGCTACATGATGTTGGAATTCTCACGTCCAGGAAAACAATAGTGGGGAATGATTTTTTTATTATTATTATCCATTCCACATCTATTTGGCATTTTGTACACGAAAGTTTATACAAAAAAATTATATAGATGACAATCTATTCTCATCTACTATCGCAGGGAGTTCACTGTACAGGGTGGGCCACTGAGCTAATTGTACAAACTCATTTTTCTTACTCATATGTAGAGATTACTGTCTTTTTGTTATTCCATAGAAGATGATGATGATAATAATAATAATAATAATAATAATAATAATAATAATAATAATTTTTTATTATTTATACCCCGCTCATCTGGCTGAGTTTCCCCAGCCACTAAGATAAGGTTAAGATAGCCTTAGCAATTTGATTCAGTTTCCTTTTCTGTGAAATAAACCAAATGATCAGATCTTATAGACCACATACAGGACAAGATAAATCAATGTTTCCCAACCAAGCTGTGGACTTCAGACAGTTTTTAGACTAGATTTGTTCCAACCTTATGCTGTATCTACTGTACAGGTAATATTGACAAAACAAAATAGATTGCATGCTTGGACATTTGCTAAACATTTAAAATAATATTTTGAAAATATTAATCAGTAACATGACATTTTGATCTATTATTATACGTAAGGGAGGTCAGATCTCTTTTAAATTAATTGTCATCATTCATCATGATTCACTAGTATTCATTTTCTGAAACTCATTTTTTAATTTAAAATAAGCATGTTAATTATCTTAGAGCACCTTTTCATCCCCCCCCATACTGAAAATAAAGACATGTTCTCTAAACAACTACCTCTTCCAAAAGATTAACAAACATCTATTGCAATTTCTGGTCCTCCCTGTGATGGGTGAAGACATAATTTTAACTGCGTAAAACCACAGCAGGTAAAGGTAAAGGTAAAGGTACCCCTGCCCGTACAGGCCAGTCGTGTCCGACTCTAGGGTTGTGCGCCCATCTCACTTAAGAGGCCAGGGGCCAGCGCTGTCCAGAGACACTTCCGGGTCACGTGGCCAGCGTGACGAAGCTGCTCTGGCGAGCCAGCACCAGAGCAGCACACGGAAACGCCGTTTACCTTCCCGCTAGGTAAGCGGTACCTATTTATCTACTTGCACTTAAGGGTGCTTTCGAACTGCTAGGTGGGCAGGAGCTGGGACCGAACGACGGGAGCTCACCCCGCCGCGGGGATTCGAACTGCCGACCATGCGATCGGCAAGTCCTAGGCACTGAGCGCCACCTGCATCCCTACAGCACCTGATACTTAGAACTATAATTGAGTCAAGGACAAGTGAGCCAATACTTTAGCTATTTCTGTTTACCAGTCTATGAAGTTACACTTGATTCAGCAGATGGCAAACTGGGCCATCGTATGATCGTGTTAGCTGGAGGAGAAAGAAGCACAGCACTGTAGCCTAGGGGTCACCAACATTTTAGGGCCCAAGGGCTGGAGAAACAGTCACTCCATGTCCTGATTGAGAGGGAAATTCTGGTTGTTAAATGTCTTTTTATATCCATGTAAATGCATTTCAAAATGTAATGATCTCATCCACATGAGGCTTCCTGGGTTATTTACTTACACATTCTTTGTGAATGGGTTACTGTTGACATTTATACCTTCTACACCTCATTTGTATCTGACCTCACTTTACAAAGTACTCATTCACCCAGGAATCTCTGAAGGCCACTCTAGATGGAAGTTTAAATGCTCACTCTCTCCATTTAACTTGCTGGAGGTTGCTTTTAAAACTATGTAAATAGAATCTGTTTGGTATGGGGGCAGGGGTGTGAATCTGAATGTGGGTGGAAAACTAAGCCCTCTCCTTATCTGCTGTGGTCTTGATGAAAATCTCTCCCTCTCAAATTGGGAGTTTGCTTCTAATGCAAACAGCTTATTTTAGAAGAGGGTTTTTCCTTGGGACTGCAGTAGGGGAAGAAAGTGTTAAATCCTCCATCGCACAATTATCAGCCCCTCTTTAGCTGATGCTGTTTCCTGTTAAATGCACTGATGTATTTAACATGCCAGCCACAAGCTCTTGATTCATTCAGTCCCACTTCACAGGTGCCCAAAGGTATAATCTATTCTCTATCCTCAGCAAAATTCTAACCTTTTTGCAAGCTTCCCTCCCAATGCAGTAACCACAAGATCTTCCCTGCCCAGGAAATCCTTGGTAAATCCTGAGGAATCCTTTATCACCTCAGATGAGCAATTGGGCAAAGGCAAACTATCCCCACAATCAGCTAGCGTCCTGGAAGCAGGCGCATATAAGAATACCTCTCAGGGCTGTGCATATGTAGCCTTGCTGGATATTCACAATTGGTCTGCTCAGGAAGGGAAACGAAGGGCCTGGATTTAGCCACTCCCTACCATTCTCTTCCTTGACAAACATCTGGTTGCTGCAAGTGCCGCTTGTCTGGGAGGCTTATGCAAGAGCAGTGTTTTGGGTAGCTCATCACTGCTCTCAATTACAGACCAGTGATGATATACTCACCATTGCTCTTTATTACAGCCTAAAATGCATGCCCAGCTCTCTCTATAAGCTTTTGTGCACAATTTATTACTTATATCCCACCCATTTGAATGAATTGTTCCAGCCGCTCTAGGAAAGGGAACCAGTGTAATGTAGCATTGAGAAAACCAGACTTCAATAAGGCAAACATGGCCTCACCCAAGCAGTTCACTGGGTGACCTTGGCTCCAGCACTCTCTCTTAACCCAGGGATGGGGAACCTGCGGGCCTAAGCTCCCATCATCTCCATCCACTGACCATTCTGCCTGGGGATTGAAGTCCAACAACACCTGAGATGCCACAGGTTCCTGGTCTCCCCCTAACCTCATTTATTTCTATTTACTTGTTTGTTTTCTTACATTGACACCCAACCTACTTTGCTACAGCAGCATTTTAAAGCTAAAAGGGAGAAAGAACCATGACTCCATGTCAGAGACAAGGCAGGACAGAAACATAAGAAATGCATGAAACTAAATGCAACACGCACTACTAGTTGCAAGTGGCAAGGGAATCGCAAGAGGGACATTTCGTTCTCCCTGCTCATCTAAACATCCCGCAACAGTTATTTTTCTTTTTCTCCTGTCATGGGTGGCAAAAGCTTCTCTGAAGTTTCATAAGCAGAGGAAATTCGGTCCTCTCTTTGCGTTGGACTAGTGAAACTGGGGGTGGAACATGTTTAGCTTAACAGTGATGAAGTTTGCTGAGCTGTATAAATAGGGCCTAGGAAAAGACTTCAAAGATCAAACATCCCTTTTGCTAGATCAGCCTGATATAGAACTACAGCACAGTCAAACTAAACACGATTATGACAGACCCACATGTCAGGAGCAGGAAGTTCGCTACTGATTTCTAAGAGAGAGCACAACTTAAAATGATGCATGAGCAAGAAACCCGTTTGCCTCAGCTGTTTTTCTCCTAGTGAGGCTGAGAGAACCCAAAAAATAACCCCTGCTGGGGACAGAATGAAGAGCAAGAGGATTAAGCAGCTTCTACTTGCTTATTTTTTGTCACGTTTATAGCCTGCCTTTCCACCGAATGGTGCTCAACATAGCTTAATGGCAAGAGCATGCAAAGTAAAATGAGCAATCAGAACCGCGAAAACAGAGTAGATGAAAGGTACCCAAAAACCCCAATAAAGCTGACAATTGCAGCAATTTTTACGAAAGGCTATGATGTAGCAAGTCCAAAGACCAGTCTGAATTGAAGGTCTGTGGTGTCTTGGTGGGACATGGCGACAGGAGAAATGTTCAGTAAAACCCACCCCTTTCCCCATCCCACCCTTGGAGCTTTTAAATTGCTCTGCCCATCTTACATAGGGAAATAGCTGTATTTTGGCACATAAAACATGTGTTTCCTTTCTTTCTTTCACAGAAAAGCATGGCAACTGGTTTGTGTCACCAACTGGTGCCCACACATTTCCCCAAGTTATTCTCCAATTTATTTAAAAAGGTTACAAGTCAACCTGGTGCTCAAATATCAATTGGAGCTCTCATTTCTTATACTTGTGTGGCTTAAAATGTTGCAACCATTTCTAAAATGGCTAGAGTAAGTCCAGTAATTTTTATGCCTCGTCCTCTTTTTAAAGACAACAGGAAAATAAAGATGATTGCCGCTGTTTTTACAGAGTGCTGAACACAGTCCTTAGCTCAGTGGCAGAACACATGTTACGCATGCAGAAGGCAGAGTTCAACCCCTGGCATTTCCAGTTAAAAAGGCACAGGTAGCAACTTGATGGGAAAGATCCTGGAGATCTGCCCACCAATACTGAGCTAGATGAACAGCTGGTTTAAAGCAGCTTTGCTTCCTACTTTCCCATATGAGAGAAGCAGAGATGCTTCAGGTGTGTACAGTCACCCTACTTTAACTTCTGGTGAAAAACCTCTTCACACTGCTTCAAATGTTTGCAAAACCTGTTGGGCTGGAAGCACCAGAGCAGCAAAAGAAATGAGCAGAGGGCAGGAGGGACATGGGAAGCAAGCTCTCTCAACCCTTTCATCTTTCCTTAAAACTATAGTTCAACTCTAGCCTGACGCAGCCAAGAGTGTGCACAACTCTTCAAAGAACATTTAAGACGTCTAAAGAAACTGGAAGGCAGGAAATAAGTTTTCCAAATAATATACCTGCACAAAGTGCTTAGCATAACATCCAATAATAGGCTCCCTTGCATTGCCAACTCCCTCTCTCCTGCTCACTCACTTTCTAGCATTATGATCTTAAGAAGTGTGCATGCACACGAAAGCTTATACCAAGAACAAACTTAGTTGGTCTCTAAGGTGCTACTGGACAATTTTTTTATATATTTTGACTGCGTCAGACCAGCACAGCTACCTACCTGTTTCTAGCATTATGGTAAAACTTAGGAAGTTTTGCAGAAGTTATTTGCAGTTCTCATCAGAGGGCTAAAAGCAGAAGCTATGCTTTTTATTTTTGCTCATGACTTCTTTTTGGGTTCAGGTATTCAAACCCTCCAAATGGGCAATGCAAACTATGAAGTTTAGTGTTTATTTACATTTGTCCAAAAAAGGAATGATTCACATATATTTTATTCTGAGCAGTTTTTTTAAAAAAGGTATTTATGTACAGCTAATTTTCCAAGGGGGTGGTGGGTAGCCAGCTATTCTACAGTGAAGTCCGCCACACACAAACACAAGAGACAGGTTGTCCACCTACCAAGAGCGGCGACCAGCAGGCAAAGAGGACACACATGATCCCCAGCAGCTGGATCAAGGTTTCCATGGTGATTCTGCCCCACTGCCTCCTGGACTGAGACGCGGAGTTTTTGGAGCGGCAGCGGCACACCAGGGCGACGATGGTGGCCAAGTTGCAGGCCACGGTGACGGCGAGCGAGAAGAGGCCCAGGAGGGCGAAGGTGGAGGCGAAGATGACGTTGCCCACGTGGGGACCCCCCTGATCCCGGGCGCTGATGAAGCACCACGTGCCGGGCCACTGGAGGGCGTAGCGCCCGACGCCCACGACGGGCAAGCAGGCGAAGGCCAGCACGGCCACCCAGACGCTGAGCAGGACGGCCTTGGTGACGCGCGTCTTCATGTGGGCCGAGTACCAGTGCGGCGCGCGGATGGCCAAGGTCCTCTCGACGGCCATGGCGCTGGCGATGAAGAGCGGGCACAGCCCGAAGACGGTCATGCTGAGGCCGAAGAAGGTGCACAGGCGCAGGGAAGGGTCCACCGCCCGCCAGTCGCGGCCGGCCCGGTAGACGGCGATGACGATGGGGCTGGTGAGGAGCTGCCCGGTCAGGTCGGTCAGGGCCAGGGAGCCGATGCAGAGCAGGAAGGACTTTTTGCGCGCGTTCTGCTTCTTGTGGTAGGCGCGGTACACCAGCAGCAGCGCCAGCCCGTTGCCCACCAGGCCCGTGGTCATCATGGTCAGGGCGAAGACCACCGACACCGAGCCGCACGCCTCCGGGCTGGTGGCGTTGCCCTTCTCCCTGCCCGCCGCCGCGGCGCTCAGCAGCGCCATGGGCGTGCAGTTGAAGCGCCCGTCGTAGGGCCCGTCGGAAGTCATGTTGCTGCTGGTCGGGAGGGCGGCGGGAGCGGCCGGGGCACCGGGACGGGGCGGGCAGCGGGGCAGGCCCATCCCATGGTGGGGCGCCCGCGAGAAGGCAGCTGGGTGCGCGCGCTAGACGGCCACAAGCCAGACGGGCGAAGGAGCAGAGCGAGCCGCGGCTGCCTTTTAAAGGCAGGCGCGGGGGGCGGAGCCCCGACGGTGGAGCGGCTCCATTGATCTGGGTCTGGCCGCGGGGCGGGGGCGGGCGGCCTTCCGGCAGCGTCGAAAGGGGGACGACATCCGCTTTCTTGCACCTGCCTGGCGCGGAAAGGGGGTCTTCCGTCTGCCAGCGAAACCGTTCAGCAGACCTTGTTTTGAACTCGAGGATGGATGTCAGGGAAGCCGCCGTCGGAAATCCCGTGGGTGATCCTCCCTCTGCCAGCCCCGGTGCCCATACCCGCCGCTTCGAGACTTACTAGGCTGCCAAGCGCGGGTGCTCCGTCGAGGATTTCTCGCCCTTAGAAACCGCTCGGGACAGCTTAAGCTTAAGTTGCGGCTTCTTTACACACCTAGCCGCTGTTTGGCCTCCATCGGAGAGTGGTTGGTCGAATCGCTCGTGAAGCGCGGTTCCTAACCGCAGCTACAAAACGGGAAAATGAACTTGACAATCGCGGCGAATCCCAGGAAACACAAAAATCATATACTGTAGAAGTATAGAGAGGCGCTGATGCCATCTAGCGGGAAGGAACTCCCGTCCATTTCCTAGTCACCCAAGATAGCGGCACGTGCGGATTTAGGGGTTTATTCCATGTAAATAGCGGATAGGCGCCCGGCTCCCAACGTGCTGAACTTTTATAGTTGCGAAAACGTCAGTGGCCCAAGGAAACGCAATATGCTGCAGACACCGCTATGTCACTTGAATGAACAGCGCGATCTGGGATTTCAGAGTTGCGTTCGCTTAGAAGACGTCTAGCGCTTTGCAGAGGACATATTTGAAGGCATACACATAAGAAAAAGGGCCTATGCTGCTTTCAGTTTTGGCAACTAGAGAGACACAGCGTTTATTTCTCGTCAGTTACTATTTGACCCATATTCTCATGCTAAATTAACTTTATTGGTAACTCAAATGTGAAGATAGGCAGCCTTCTGTTTGTAGAACCAATGGGTTGAATGTGGGATATGTACATTAGATCACCTGATAAGCTCAAATGTAATGCTTTTGTCGTTTCCTACTTTACAATCTGAACATCAGTTACTGGTGAGTGCCAGATGACAGTGCTGTATCTCCAATCACATCACTTGTTGACATCCGTTTATGGACCATCTGCTTTGAGTCCTGCAGCAGCTTCCAGATTGTTGGAGGGTATTGGTGGATCCTTACAAAAAGCCAAACTCTTGTTTACAAATGCTTAATGTATCTATGTACAGTGAGGGGGGAAAGTATTTGATCCCCTGCTAAATTTGCCCATTTGCCCTCTGACGAAGAAATGACCAGTCGAAGTACAGGAACTTAGGGAGGTGTGGAACAGGGGATTTGAATACAGCCTAAACAATGGGAAATTGCTTTAGAATATAAACAAGAGTGTTTATTTAGATTTGAAACCAAGTTTGATCCAGCAAAAACACTATTTTTGGTATAGGAAGCCACAGGCCAATGCAGACAGATGTTGGTGTAATGTTGAAAATGCCTCCTTGAAGCGTATGGTGTGGTCCAGTGATATTTACTTTTTGGTCTGAAGTTGTGTTGTATCAGTTTTGTAATGGTGAAATCTTTTATGTACTACAATTTTTCTTTTTGTAGTATGGGGATTAATGGCAGGACAACAAAAGTAGATTTTGTGAGTCCTTATGGTTGCTAAGATGCTTTGAGACCTGATGGATACATATCCCCACAATGGTCTGAAGACCTCACTGCTCTGGCTATATTTGAACATATTTCATATAGACATCAGTTTCTTGAGGATGCACGGTTGAATATCTAGAAGGCTTATACAGGATGAGTCTTTTAAAAGAGGCCCCGTGGAACATGTGTACTCTGTATCCACGGGGCCTCTTTTAAAGGACTCACCCTGTGTATTTATATGACTAGATTATATTATGCTTTTTAAAGGTTTATTTTATTCTTCTGAGCATTTGAGTATGTGTAATTGGAATTGCTGTTCTGGATTTACTATTTATGGTTTCTGTTTTTTATTTTTTACGTTTTATGTGTGAGCAGTTTTGTAAGCTTCACAACACCTGAGCCACACAGGATACAAATTGCAAGTAAAATAAAAAGCATTGCCCAAATGCTAACATTCTGCTTCTTATTGAAAAGAGCAAATGGTTTTGAGCAGGAATAAAAGAGCTACCTCAACCTTTTGCTGTTTTGCTGTTGCCTTTACTAACACCCTGATCTTTGCATTGGGGGGAAAAACCATCCATTTTAATGTATGAGGATTACACCATTGGCACAGAAGTATATGCTATCAGTAAAACAACTGCACCATCTAGTGATCTGTTGGATATGACTGTGGTTAATTAACTTTTTTGAACCCACTTGACAGTTAGTAAACTCATACATGAGAAGCTGCATTATCTTGTTAAAACTGAAACAGTTTTAAGGAATTCAAATGCCAGGGTCCCAATATAGCTATCAAATTAAAATGAGCAAACAATACCGGTTATATTATTTTAAAAATATTTTATCTCAGCTTAACTTTACACCAGCTTCTCTCATGGCTTCACTGAATGATGCTTTAAATAGATCCTACCATTTCAAAGAAAAGGTTGGAAAAACTGTTAGCATCCACATCAATACAAGAGAAAATACAAACTGCTTCTCTCCAGTGAAAAAAACCTGGAAATTTCTAAGGATTTTGCTTTCCAGAATAGGGCAGGGGCTGTAAAACACAAATTTCAAGATTTAACTTAGGCTGCCTTGGCTAATCTTGTTGCAGCCAAACTTCAGGAACCATTTTGCTTTTCCATTCCCTGCCTGGTGACAAGAGTAGTGGGCTAAAACTACTTTTAAAGTGGCTGTGGACCTTACAAAAGAAGTTCCCACAAGCTGAATTCATTAGTGACTGAATCTCTGGATACTGATACTTCTTTACAATGTCCAAAGCTGCCGTTATTACATACCGATACAATTGGTATGTAATAGTGATATTTATCAGCGAAGTCATATCTGTGTAAGACTTAACATCTGCCATGATTTTAAAAAACAAGATTTTTATAACTGTAAATGAGGAAAAGATAAAATTACAGCAGAAACCACCTATCACTTTTAACATACACTATCCATAAAATCCAATTGGAAGCTTAAATTTATAGAAGGGTTAAAAAGCTACCTAAGAGGAAACAACTATAACGATAAGCTGTTAAAACTGTCCGAGGAATCTTCCTTATTCCAGTAACACCAGTGCTGCCCTGGAGGGCATCTGTCCCCGCAGGGAAATTAAGTGATACATTTCTATTGCTCAGCTGCTTTTCTGTTACTGGAAACATCCCGTTTCATTTTATGATTGCACTTTAAAAAGACCCAATAATTTATAGATACTTATCAATGGTATCTACATACTGCCAACATTCTCTCCCAAATAGCAATAAAATAATTCTGAGTAGCAAGTCAATGCCAAAAGTCAGCAGATAAACTTTATGCAAGCAGTACTGAACTAGGTACTTAAGAGACAAGTTACTCTTAAGTATAAATATAAATATGAATGCATATTCATAAAAATATTAAACCAAACAAGATTTTGCAAGCTTTTTAAACTCTCCCAACCTACTTGTCACCCTCTTCAGATAAAAAAAAACATATTTCAGCAGAATTTCATCTTTGTGAGCAGGAATAAAACAGCTACCTCACCTTTTGCTGTTTTGCCTTTACTAACGGAGGAGAGGGTAATAATTCCCACCTCAATTTCCCTAGCATAGATTGATGTTGGTGCCTTTTCCACCTTAATGAACCTTGTATGGGGAAAACACAGAGAGCAGCAACAAACTTGGGTCTCCAGCTGTTGTTGGACTATAATTCCCATCATCCCTAGCAAGCAGGACCAGTGGTCAGGGATGATGGGAACTGTAGTCCAAAAACAGCTGGAGACCCAAATTTGGGAAAACCTGTTCTAGGACTTCCAAAGTGTTGAAGCCTATATATTTATGCAATACAGTGGTACCTCGGATTGCATACGCTTCGGGTTACAGCCTCCGCTAACCCAGAAATAGTGCTTCAGGTTAAGAACTTTGCTTCAGGATGAGAACAGAAATCGTGCTCCGGCGGCGGGGCAGCAGCGGGAGGCCCCATTAGCTAAAGTGGTGCTTCAGGTTAAGAACAGTTTCAGGTTAAGTACGGACCTCTGGAACGAATTACTTAACTTGAGGTACCACTGTACTTGTGCCCTTTTTAGATTATACATCATGGGTTCTTTAGAACATCCCCCTGCGCCTGGGGAAATGTGAAAGCTGCTCTTACATACAAACACACACATCTAGCCACTCTCATACACAGACACACATCACACTATCTATTTTCACACCTACATCCACAACAGGTCTGGACATAAAATAGTCTCTCACCCACACGATAATAGACTATATTAGATTCCCCCCCCTGAAGTGTACAATTTCATAGAATGTTTATGTTATGAGGATGGGGTGTGTGAGAGAATGAATTGGCCTGATCAAGCTGGCTGCAGTCTACTAAGTATCTCAGCAATAGGGATAAAGCTTTAAGGGAATACATACTATGGGGTTGAAATTCCTCCCTTTGCTATGTGAAACATTTCCCCTTCCCCACTCCTCAGAAATCTCATCCCAATATCTAAGTAACAAAATGCATATACTGCTTATTCAAAGAAAATACCTTTGAATAAAGCCTTCTGGTTTAGGGATGACAGCCCTTTTGTGCTATATAGCAAGACAAAAACAAAAATTATGTGTGAGTGAGCAAGCGAGCATGTGTGCAGTTTTAATTTTTCCCTCCCTCTCCCCATAAACTCCAGATCACTTCTACAACACTCCTGATACAATGCAGATGCAGCTCTGAAAACGAATACCCATCAGAAATGTATTTTGGAAAACATTTTTACAGCCTTACAACCTGTACCTAGCAACAAACAGCTGCCCTTTGGGCCAGAAGGATCCCCAAATAAGAACAGTGAAGTTACGAAAGCTGGCTATTGATTTCAATGCCGCATTAATTTGTTCTAGATCAGATTTTAAATACTAGGTTTACTTAATATTTAGTATGTATTTCTTGTATCTTATGTGGTGTTTAACTGCCATGGTCTCTGGCTAAGGTGACTTGTTCAATTGCTCATTAACTATTTTAGCACCCAACCCTTTCTACAATAGGATAGTTGTTTGTGTTCTTTTATTTTCAGTTCTATTAACCAACTGAACAGTAAGTGCTTGAGAAGAGCATGCTGTGGATTTTCTTATAGCACAGGGGGGGAATTATAGTGATATTGCAGCATGTAAGAAACTACACTTTCCAAAAACCACTAAGTAATTTTTTTTAAAAGTCTTAACAATAGAAGGCAAGCATTTCTAAATGATAACACCATGCAGCATAGGTTAAGAACTCTGCTATTGCTGGTGGTTACTATGACGCAATCTCTTACAGACCTCTTTCAGTTTTGGAAGATGAGCTTTGCTGAAAGTTAGCTAGTTAATCGACTGTAGAGGCACAGGAGGCAAGCCAAGGAGTGTAAATAACACATCTCTCTGATCTTAACCAACTAAATAAATACTCAGAATAGACCCATATGAATGCAAAATGGAACTAACTTGCAGAATATTCAATATTTTTGAAATTATTCAGACAGGTGTTACTTAAAACTCAAGTATATGCACACTTCATCTTTGATTGACATGCTTTATTTACATATGTCTACAGAATTATATCGTCATAGAACAAACCAGTACATTTTAATCCAAGCCAAATGAAACCCATAATTTTCCCAGTCATCTCTAACCTATAATTTGCTGAGTTTAAGAACTTGTTAGGTACAATACTTCAGAATACAAAGCACAAGAATAACTAAATTAACATGTAGCATCTAGCAAATCTGATTTTCACACTTTTAGACAGACTTTCAAGAAGTCAGAGGCACAGTTACAAAGACTATTTGTTCTTGTGCAACCTAAGCTATGCTTAGCAAAAAGGAAGAGAGAAAAGAAAAAGAAAAGATACCTAAGAGAAAGCAACACAGGATTACAGGGCATTTTTTTCCTGCAAAATTTATCCAAAATATTTCTACAGCAAAACCATTTTACTTTGTCTTTGATCAGTCCAAAAAATTTAAGATGTTCATAAAATAAAAATAAAATAAAATAAAGACAAGTTCTGCTCCATTTGTTGTTGTGCAGTTTGCTTTAAAATGCAGATGATCCAATATACAAGTAAGATATACAGCTTCTTTCCTAGAACCACTAAGCTTCCTTAACATACTTACCTTGGGATCTCACTGAAGACACATTTCTCCCAAGCAAACGGAGCTTAAGAATGGTCAGTATTTAACAAATATTTGCTAGTAAAACAAATTTAATGAAGCATTTTAAGCCATAAATTTACAGTCATCCAAAAAGATATGCAATGATTTGAGATTTGTTTAAGTAAGCATTTATACTTTAGAAGAGTCACAGTGTTTTCTGGGAGAGTTATAAATATATAGTTTTCTAGTGTAAATTGAATTTTACTGACTTAGAAGAAACTGATTTTGTTATTACATTTCTACACATTTGGAAAACATTTCACAAAATCTGAGCGCTTTGGATCTTAGTACAGGGCACAACTGTTTTGCATGGGGACTGAGTTCCTGACCCCTGCCTGCATCAGCGGAGTGTGTGTAAGCCCGTTACGGCCCTGCCCCACACCCTTTCCTGGCCACTTCCTGGTTGCAGCGATGTACACCTACACGTTTGTACTTTGTGCGCAAAAAGGCCATTGCCTGTACTTAATTGTATCTTAATATACACTAGCGGCTCAATTTCTAGCATGAACCAAAGATTCCATGCATGTGACTGAGGGTGGTGGGGGAGATGGCACACCAGCGTCCAGTTCTGGTACTAAAATTGAATGACTCAAGAGAGTACTTCAGGAACAGCTTTTTGGGGAAGGGACACAGAGAGAGATGCCTGAAAAGCTCCGGTAGGAAGGAAAATTACACATTCCTTTAGATGCTGTGCATATATTTTGTGCTGCAGCAAAAACAGAGCTATTGATTAGCCAGGATGTGGCTGCCAAAAACTTAGGAAGTTACATGCCACCAGAAAGTACTCACAGACGCAGCTTCAGGACAAAACTGTAACCAAGTTTTGTTTCTGGCTGACTATCCAAGAAGCAGCACAAGGTAGCTTACATGTCTACTTTGATCCTGTCTACTGAAGGAATAATTGTTTTCTAGTTTGAGTTACTTTCACTTAGAAAGCACAACACTTCCTTATGGAAGGCAGTTCTCTCTCTGAAGTATCTCTTGCTTTGCATCTGAAGATATACTACAGTAGCTTTTGTGATCCTTGCAGGAATGGCTGGCGGTGGGGAAGGAGTGGCCTGGACCAGTTTAGAAACCAGAGTGCATATTAACATCAAATGAACTGTCCCCTTGGTAGTTTTGTGACTAGCAAACATGAAGGCTATATGACAAATCAGGATGGCAGCATAACATAGAAAGTTCTTCAACAAAATTAGAGTCTTAGAACTGGGAAGTAACCAACCAGTCAAATCAAGAAAGGGCAGGCACTTAGAAAAAAAAAGTCATGCTACTCACCTTTCTGGAGGCAATTTATGGCTTAAAATATTTCATTACATTTTGTTTCATGAATTAAAATAGCTGCAGTTTTCCATTAAACATGCACCTCTACTAGCAGGATTTAGCACTTCTGACCAAGTAAGACACCAACTTCTTAAAAATGTCTCATGCAGTGGACTATTTTCGTGTGTGTTTGAGTTTTAATATATTATTTCTTTTTAGAACTTGTACGGGATCCAGAATGAGAAGATCCAGATGATGACCTTCGGTGTCTGCAAGATAAAAGATGGAAGAAAGCATGCAAACAAGTAAGTTTGAATTGCAGTGATTTTCATTGGGGAGGGGGAATTGGGAGGGAGAAAGAAAACGGGGAATATATGAACTGGGAATGCAATTATTTGGACTTCATCTCTGTATCATAACCGCATTCCACAGTTTGCATCAATATAGAACTTTTAGGTAATAATACCTTCATTTGTAATCTAGAAAAAAAACTAAGAGTGCTTTAGGACTTTAAAAACATTTTTTTCTGATCTATTTGTGAGAAGTAGATATATGAAAAAATTTAACTAAAAAGTTTGACCATCTTTTAAAAGAAATGGCATCAGCTGGGATAAATGGAATCTACAAAAATGAAAACAGCTATCTTCAAACACACAATACTTAAACATACTGTTCCTTTTCTAGCCCTTCCACAGTTAACATTTAAAGAACCATTCTTATTCTACAGAAACCCAAACCTTTCAGGTGACAGTGATTTCGTTCGCCTTTTTTTGCGATCACCAGATGAAGATCTAGATCGGCTTCTCTTTCTGCTTCTCTCAGGGGAAGATGATGAGCGAGAGCTTGAGTAAGATCTTTTTCTTGGGGTTGAAGAACCCCTGACGGATCTGGAGCTGGATCTTTATTAAGAAATAAATCAGACTTAATCCTAGCATAAATAACGAGGTTGCAACAATCTACTACATATATATCCAATCTAGAACACACACTGCAAATGTAAAATGAAATTATATTAGGACATAAATACTTACTGCTGTGCCAATAAGAATTCTGCCTTAAGAGCTTCTCAATATGGGATTGTGGGCAAATTACTCATAGACTGACCAGAACTGATCATATAATGATCAAGACCAATGCAGAAGCAATTATTCAGCTTTATGCAATTGTTGCTTCTCAGCAACAGCAAACAATTTAAGTCTAAAGTGAGAAATGAACATTTTCACATTCCCTACATTAAGAAAAAGGCTGAGGCATTAGTTTAGACATTTTACATAACTGTATGCATTTCACAGACCTTTGAAAACAAGTATAGGCATTAGGAAGACTGTACGGCCACAATAATCTTATATACATACAGAAGTCGCATTGCATAGGCACATGCGACTGCACACTGCATTGGCTCTCACACATTGTATTTCATTTACTTTATAAACCGTAGCTTCACAGAAAATGTAATAAGGTAGTATACAACATAAAGCACAGTACTCAACAGTAGAAGTATCAGTAAGAAAGGATTGGTAGAAGGCTGTTACAAGGGTCTGAAAGAAAGCAGGGATTACTCCTGATGGACTTTTATATGGCGAGAACTCCACAGGATACACGGGCTATCACATTCAAGGTTCAGTTCCTGGTAAAGGTCAATTGAACCTCAGGGGCGTGGGGAACCACCAAAAGTGCCCCATCAGACTATTTCAGTGATCAAGGTGGAGCAGAAGGAATTAGGTGGTCTTTAAAGTACTTTGAACTCAAGTTGTGAATGAACACAAAAACCTTAAACCTGTCTGGTAGTAAATAGCCAACCGTTGCAGCTCTCACAGTAAAGGACTAACATTTGCTCCTGTGAACAATTTGGCTACTACATTCTGTATAGCATAAGCCAATGCTTTTCCTGTGTCATAGGGTACAACCCTTTATCTTTCCCCCTAGTGCTTATGGACACACACAAAATATCAGGGCAGTCTGAGGGAGACCAGTGCACATATTCAATATTCCCAACTGGATTTCCCACTCTGCTTTGGGCAAGTTTTGTGAGGTCCATAACTACAGAGACCCCTCTCTCTTTGTGCTGTCTATGAAAGAGAGAAATTGGGCTCTGTTGATTGAGATTTATCAGAAAAGAGGACTGGTACGTTTTTAAAGCCTTTTACATCAGTGAAGTATATTTATGATACAACAATTTTTATAACAAGTTCATTACTATTGTTATTGCATTGAACAAAAATTATATGTGAGAACAAAATATTCAAAATAAAACAGTAATTTCTGGTGATCTTTTCGCCTCTCTCTCTCTCTCTCTCTCTCTCTCTGACAAGCAGAGAGGTTGCTACCTCATTCACCTTGATTTCGACCCACGAGATCTAGAACGTTCTCTGGAAGTGGAATGAGATCTTGACCTTGAGCTGGAAGAGCTTCTTGACCTGAAACAACATGAAGGATTTTAATTTTTTTGTGAATAAAAATATAAGAATCAAATGGAAATCTACTCTTCCGTGTAATTTGTATTGGAAGTGAAAGTAATTTTTATTTCCTTCACAGCATTTAATAAGTGGTTGGTCAGGATCCAAAAAGCTGCTTTGAGCTAACAGAAGCAGAATGTGCTAAGCTAGTTGAACAGATTTTTGCTTTGAATACCTAACTTCCATACAATGTCACAAGCTGGTTTTTAAACATTCTACAGTTTTAAAAGCAGTTTGCCACTTAGTAAAAAGGGAGTGTCATTAAAGAAATATAAGCCTAAAGCCCTCATGGGCTTTCAGGGTTCTTTGGATCCTGATCAATAAAATATAAAATATTAAGTTACCTTAAAATGTTAAGAATATCATCAGTTATTAACCTCAGTTTATAAGCTGCATATACAAAAAATTCTAAAATTTTACTTTTAAACATTAAAAGTTAGTAAGAAATGTTTGGCTCAAAATTGAAAACCAGATATTGTAAATAATGTAAAGAAGCCAACTTACAATGTTATATTTGTGTCAAAAAATAAAGGCTAGGATGCTCTGCAAGCAAGAGTTAAAGATTTATTCTAATAGACCAGTGAACATTCTACAATTATTTTTCAAACAACTGTTTTCAGGAAGGGGCAGTTCAAGACGCCTGGCATGTATGTATAAGCCAAACATGGAGGCACAGTGGATTCCACAATTCCCAAATTAAGAAGTGTTCCCGTAGCACTGTTCCGTATTAATGAAGAAGTTTGTCTCAAAATTTCAATTCCACTTGGGAAACATTTTTATTGCCTGCCAGGAGTTTATTCTCAAAGAACATAACCACTAGGAAACACATTTGACATTGAAATTGCATTTGTGGTTTAACTAGCACCCAAAAGGCATATGAGTGTCAATAACTTCAAAAATTATGTACCAAACTACATTTCTCCAAAGTTTCAACCAGCAAACTGACAAATTAAATATTTTTATTTATTCGATGTTCTGCAATAATTATGTAGAATTTTTGTCTCTCAATAGTATCATTCTATATACAGGACGGTGGCTACATAAGGTGATCTCCAACACAGAGAATACAGAATGCTGGGGGGAAATAACCATTGTTAACTGGATTATCCAGGCTGTAAGTCACCAAAGAATGGTTATATTTGCCAGGGTTCATAGAGCATTTCCTGCAACTGATACACCATGGAAATGTAGCATATAAGAGTACTTATGATGAAGCAAAAAACTGGGATCAAATATTTGGTGCCATCACAAACCTAACCAGCAAGAGTGACAGAGAAACCCTGTTTGTTTAGAGATATAAAATTAAAATTATAAGCTACAGTTTACTTGAGTCAGTAAGAAAATGTTCACTTACACTATTACACTAACATGTACCCTGATATTTATAGTGAGCACCTGCAATTTTCTCAGTTTAAGCACAGACTACCTGTGCAGGCTAGCTATCTAAGATTTATTAGCTTAACTCAAACCGTGAAAAATAAAAAGTAAAAAAATCAATCACAAAAGAGATGTAAATAAAGAAAGTTAGATACTGACATTTTGTCTGGCGTTACCCTTGACCTGTACCCGTTTACCTGGACCTAGACCTTGAGCTTGAGTGGGAGGATGAGCGAGATGAAGATCGTGAACGAGAAGATCGAGACTTGGAACGGCTGCGCCTAGTTGTAGATTTCTTCTTGGTGGAATCTTCTTCCTCACTAGCATCAAGATTATATTTTGAGAGATCTGCATCTTCTTCATCTTCATCCTGAAAAAAACCCCAACAAGTTATTTTTGTTAGAAACAAAGCATTCGGAAAACTATTTCATTTATATGGTATCTGTTATCTTTGTCCTGCCTCAAAACAATGTAATACGGTGCAGTTAAACAACTTGCTACATACTTACCTTTATTTATAAAATAAATAAAATAAACTTCAGCCTGAGTCCAGGGAAACCTGGGTGGAATCCTTACTTGGTCATGAAGCAGACCAGCTACGGCTGCCATATGTCTGGGAAAACCTTGACACGTCCGGGAATTGGACTTGGAAAATGTCAACAATGTTCAGCTGTCAGGGTTGCGACCACTTTTGGGTGACAAGCCGTGTGTGGAAAGAAACTGCAGCTGCAGAGTTCTGGCTACTTCCCTGCCACACACACCTGAGGTGTCTCCTCCGGGCAATGAGAGCGACGGCAGCAAGGCGGCGGATTGCACTGTGCAGAAGCGCAAGTCGTGGTGCAGGATACCCGAGAAATCGGGCCCTTCTACGCCCGTTGTCCTGTACCCGGGAGACATCAAGACCACCCGTCAAGCCACCCCATGGAGGCAGCGACGGCCCCGCCCCGCCGCCCATCCTCACCAGCCTGGGCTTCAGTGACTTCACGGTCTACCCGTGGTGCTGGGAGGAGAGCGCACACAATGTCACCTTCAGCCTTCCACCTGCCACGTGCAGCTACTCCACAACGGCAGTAGAAGAACAGGGGGCTGCACTTGGGTAGAGAGGACGGCGATGTGTAAACAGAGTCAAGTACGCTAAAACAAAAAAAGGCCTAACAACTCTTGTCTAGATTTTCATTTTTGGAAATATGGCAACTCGAAGACCAGGTGGCCTCTGAAACCTAACTTAGGTCACAGAGGTGTGAAAATGAAGTGAAATAACTGAATGTGTGTTGCTCCTAGTTCATTTGAGGATGAAAAATGTCGTTAAAAAAATGAAACATACATGGTCAAGTTGCAATAAAATTTCTCTTGAGGGAAAAATTAATTTTATAAGAACAAGCATTTCTCATATATTCATCTGTATTTGCCTGTTGTCAAAACTGGGTATTTCAGCTGGCTACTGTGCATGCGTCCACACACATTTGTGCATATGTGACACATGCATAACCCTAATATGCTGTCTTTACTAATTCAATACGAGGGGGTCACATCTGGCACTGCTTCCTTTTCCTGTAGCATACATTATCCTATGCCAATTTGGCATACAGGTTAGTACCTGGTTATGTGAAGAACTGCCGCCTCCTGTAGGAACCTGCTTCTAAATTATAGCCAACTTGCCTGAGATGTTGAGAAAGGCAGTCTAAGAACTGGTAGGGCTTGCCACTGCTCACACCAAGAACAAGTGCAGGTATCATCTCAAAGGTACTCAACCTTTCATGTAACCATTTCTTTCATACTCCTGCAGTTGTGAAATGTGGTGGCTGCCATAGGGGACTTGAATAACAGGTATATGAGTGCAATCTATGTGTTATTGTTACAGCTAACGTACAACTAATGGTTATTGCTTTGCTGACTTCTGTAACCATTATGATTGCATACATGTTAATGGCACAATATCTTGTTTTTAAATGTTTAAAAAACTGTAGGGTCAGGTAGACCCCACACACTGTTCTCATACATTTATATACTTTACCTTGTGGGGTACTGTTGATCCCAATGAGTTCATTGCAACTATACCGAAAAGGAACCTTCTCAATAAAGGCAGTACTTTTAAAATTTGCACATGCTGTCATACTTAACACCTAGCCAATATATTTATTTTTATGGCTGTCTTGGAATATAGCCAACTCCAAAACTGGATTCAGTATTTTCTTCTTTTTTTATGGAGGGGCAAGGAAAACCATGCTTTGTTTGTTGTTTGCCAGTGAGCACAGGGAGAAGGCACCAAGAGAATGGATGAATTCCCAAATTGCTAGTTCACTCACATTAGCCGTCTATGAGTTCTGAACAGCAGTCAAATCAAGGTTTAGCTGTGTGAATTTAGCCAAAAAGGAAACAAGACAGAAGAATGGTTTTACCTCATCCAACTTATACTTCGACAGATCTCCATCCTCATCCTCCTCTTCTTCTCCTTCTCCTTCAGATTCCTTATCTTCAACTTCCTTTAGGATAGATGCAGGACCAACAGGCTTCCCTCTGTATTTTTTCTTTTTGCGACCAAACTGCAAGAGGTCACATTGTATTCATAAGAGAGTGTACTGTTGCTCAATGAATGCAGGATCATACATAAGCACACTGCAGCAACCCAGAAGCAGCCAGAAAAGGGGGTGGAGAGGGCTTACACGCACCCCAATACACGCAGGGGCCAGGAACGCAACCCCCAGGCAAATCAGGGGTTGCCTGCACAACCCACATCTACAGAACTACTTTTAAGTACTTGGACGAAGCTTACCGCTATATACGTAACTTACAACTTATGCACATTTAAGTTGCACTCATTCGGCTTTATGCGCGTGGCAATTTTTAAGAGAAAAATTATAAAGGGGACAAGTGCCTGGGAAAAAAGACTTTGGCAATCCCACCTGCCATTGACTATGCAGTTTTGGCTTTATGCGCTCCTTGGTTGCCTGTACTCAGTCTTGACAATTACATACACATTCACCAGGTACATACTGCCTACCTCATCATATTCCCCATCTGACTCTTCACGTTCTATGTATTCAACATTCTCTCTTTCATTAAAGCCCCCACCATATCCTGCAAAAAGAAGTTTCAGAAATGTCAAAAAGCAAACATAAGGACACAGATAAGAACACAGAAGACTATTTTTTTTCTTTATACATTGTTTCTTTCTACAGCAGAGAGTAGAGAGGTCACTTAGTCTCAGTGCCAATTTTTCCAAGCTTGTCTAATACCACTCAGTGTTAAGTTGTGCTCAGTGTAATTGCTGCTGCTGCCTCTACCAGGAAGTACATGTCACTTCTAGCCAAAATCAACTGGATCAGAGAGTTGCGTATGCACGTGCTCTACTCAGTAGATAGTGATGGTTGCTTCCCACATGCTGAGCACTCCCAAGAACTGAGAAATGCTTGAGCAAAACTGACTAGGTAGTGGAGAGAGGATTTTTCCATGAAGCACAGGACCATGAAGACATCTGCTTTCTTCCTGCACTTGGAACTTGGAGACCGCCTTCCACAGCTGCTTTGTCCATCTCTGTGGCAGTCATTTCAGCCACCCATTTCCTTTGAAGTTAGGAAGAAGCTTCCTCCTCTCTCGCACCTCTCAATTTGAGGCAGTATTCAAAGCTCAAGCACTTACGTTCTGCAGAGTACTTGCACCTTCCTACTCCACATGGTCTGCAAGAGGCAAGGATGGTAGAGAGGAGCGGTAACTCTCATACTGAGCACTCCTTAGTGCTGAGAGGTGGCAGAGGAAGGGCATGTGCTAAGCATTGATGGAGCTGGGAAGAGGGGATTGACAAAACACGCAGATCAATGTTGCGGTGGTATTTGCTATGTATGGCAGAGGGACAAAGGCCTTTTGTTGTGTGTGTGCACATTAAGCTAACTTATTGACAAGTGCTATAATGTAGTATACAGAACCAAAACCAGCTTAACACAAAGATCTCAAGGGTCTAGTTATTAGCAACACAAGGGGGCTGAGAACAAGGCCAAGTCTCTTCACCTACGTTCTCTAAACATGTGAAGTAAGATGTCTGGAAATCTCAGTAACTCTTGAAGAAGTTCTGGGATCTCTTATTTCACCATTATGGTCTACAGAGATGTTTTGGTGCCCTTTCAGCAGATTTTCATTTTCTTTCCAGGACACACCCAAATCTCTCAGAAACTTAACTTTAAATTGCCACAACCCCAGAGAAAATTGCTAAAGCAAAAGCAAAATCAAGCAATGTGTGGAATGCTTTTGGTTCCAAGCCAACAGTTCCCAAAGTTCAACATTGCTTTATCACAAAAGCTGCTCACAAAGGAGGAGGGAATATGGTTGCATGTGCTGTATCTCTAAAAACATTATTTTAGATAATTTGAAACAAATACCTGTCCTTTCCTCAAGTTTGGCATATTTTGGTGTGTTGCACATATTGCATTCTGATCTCCTGGCCCAATTAACGTTGCCACATCTTTGGGAAGAAAAACATATGATTGGCAGTTTAAATACAGGAACTACATTGGTTCAAAAATTAAGAAATTAAACTAGTCAATACCTGAAATTTTAAAACCCATTTTTAAGACCTACAGGAGTCATTTTATTACTTCCAAGATACTTTAAGTATACAATAGTGAATATCACTGATATTTTAACAACTTTTAATCAAAATACAGAACTGACAACAATGATCTCCTTTTACAGCAGATACATTGGTGAAGACTTATTTTGTGTAGTGAAAACAGTTCCAACAACATACGCAACAAACCTATTCTCCTACTTGGATGACATCTGAACAAAGTACAATTAAGAAAAAGCAAGCAAAACCCTGTATTTCGAGTCAGCAGGCAACCAAACTGATTTCTTTTTGCGGGTCAGCAAAATGAAGTTTGGGGAAATACTCTTCTACCACATACAAATTGTAGTGCAATTATGCAGTTCCCATATGATGTCAGTGAAATAAGGGAAAGGAGAAGAGAAACAGATGCCAATCAACTGATGCCACTTAATTCAGACTAAATTACTAATACAAATAAATGCTTATAAATTCAGAAAGTTGACTTTCAATAGGCATCACATGGTTGCACTTTTATCTCAGGCTATATGAAAACCTTTAGGTCCATTTTATTTTCCAATATGAATTGCAAAAAGAGTGCTTAAGAATGAAGAGGAAATTAAAATATTTAGTGCTGCCAACTAAAGAATTTATAGTTGAATTTTTAATGTTTTAATATTTTTATAATGCATGTGGTTGTAAATAATATGGCAGTAGCACAAGCATAACACTGGAATCCTATGCGCACAGTGGGACTTACTTCTGAGTAAACATACATAGGATTGGTTTGCATAAAAAGTAGGAAATACATGCGGATAATAAAGAAAAGGAAGAAAAACAGACAGCTAAAAATAGACAATTAGATATTAAAAGAGAAAAAGCACACGTTTAATAGAAATTAGAAATGAACTAGAGCTTTAGGATAAACATACGTTTTACACTGCCAATCATTAGCACTGAATAGACCACGGCTTTTTTCAGCAAGTGTCTTCCCTATCTCAGTTCCCCCAGCTTTCATCATCTTGGCCTCTGTGGTTTTTTCTGAAAGGTTAACAAGATTCAGACAATTTATTATAAATTGGAGTTTCTGCAATAAATTTCCCTCTCAAAAGAAGCATAACTTGTAATTACCTCGACCACATCTGTTGCAGCTGGTTCTTCTAGCAAAGTTAACGTTTCCACACCTTCAAAAAAAGGAAACATGACTGAAGAGCCATTTTTTCTAAACATGATACTAAATAATAACTTTAAAGTTCTACAGAGTTTAATGGGATTTTTTTCCAGTTAGTATGCTTAGGATTGCACTCTACATTTTAAAACTAAATTTCTAAACACAAATATAGAGTCAGTCTTAAGATATTCATGTTGCTTGCACCTCATTAACTTTTTGAATATTCTTCTCCCATGCAAAAGGTATGCAACACAGTATGTTAATAACTCACTAGAAACATTACAACTGTGTGACTTTATACCTAAACATTTCAGTAGTAACACCGTTACTGAAATTGAGTTTGTACTACCTCTGGCAAGATAATGGTCATCTTCTAAATAAGGCACTTGGGCAACAGGGCTTTCAGAAGCTTTGTATATATTAAAAATGCTTTATAGCTGGCATGTTTTAGCTCAGTGATAAGGAACCTGTGATGTTTAGATGTTGCTGGACTCCAGCTGCAATCAGCGTCAGCCTAAACTGCCAAATTTAAAGGATTACAAGAGTTGTAGTCGGTTGCAGTAGTCCAATGGTTCTCAAAACACTACACTTGTGTGGCAGGAAAAGATGGCAAGTGTGGTGGAAATATTCAAGGACAACCAAAGAACTGATTTGTTGTTGGCTTATGGACCAGGGCTGTTTTAACAAATGCTAGGCATTATACCTGAACCCAGCAAAAGCAGCTGAAAGCAAGCAAAAAGAAAAAGGTGGAGCTTGTTTCCTCACTGGTGAGGTGATCTGTAGTTTGTTGAACAAGCCATGTTTAAAACAAAACATGGCTCAGCAATGCATAAGCACAGCCAATGACTCAATTTTATATGTTTTATACCAGTATATGCTAAGTGTTTAGAATTCACTGGCTTTTTAAAATACTAGCTGAAACACATACAATGAGTGATAAAAACGTGTAAACAGCTGAACAATACAGTTTCCCACCAATGCCTTTTCAAGTTCTTAGCTTGCTCACTACCACATGGTATTTTAGCTAGTTCCAGCATGAGATTCGAAAATGTAATAATTTGAACTTGTTCCAACAGAGATTGGCACATTTATCTTTCATTTCTGCAGACATTATGATTGTCGTTACCCCATAACTTTCTAGTGCTATGGCAATTTAAGGCTGCTAGGTTTCCAAAAACAATTGTCAAAAAACATCCACAGAACATCCCATGCATCCCTCATAGCAAACATAGCTGCTTTGCTTCAAAAGGCAATGCAGCACATTTCGAACAGAAAAGCGTCCACTACGAGGCAGCAACTCCGCACACTGAGCCTAAACCCCACTGAACTCAGCTGAACTTGCTTTGCCAGAATGGCAGTGCAAAAGAAAAAGAAAAAAGAGATGAGTAAGCAAAAGGGGGCATGTGATAAAAGATGTACAGAATTACACATTGCGTGGAGAAAATTTCAAAGTCTATCTCCCTCTCACAGATCCTCCAAGTGTCCCTATTTTCCAGGGACAGTCCCAGATTTCTGACTTGATCCTGGAATGTTCCACTTTTCCATAGGACATCTATTTTCAGTGGAAAAATGTTGGAGGGGATGTCTCTATTTTCACTGCAGACCCTCCAAGTGTCCCTATTTTCCAGGGGCATCCCTGATTTAGAGAAGCTGTCCCAGTTTCTGATTTGATCCCAGAATGTCCTACATTTCCTTAGGGATGTCCTATTAGCATTGGAGAAATGTTGAAGAGCATGCAGTTTTCTGACTCCTGAGCTGCCTGAAGGCAATCCTGTATAGGGAAGTGTTCTTTTTTTAAAAAAAGTTTAATGTTTCATTATGTTTTTATATATGTTCAAAGCCGCCCAGAGTGGCTAGGGCAACCCAGTCAGATGTGCGGGGTATAAATATCAAAAATGATCATTATGGAATTGGGCTGTCCCTATTTTCATGGGATAAATGTTTTATCACTTTATTCTTATAATTATTATTAATGTTCTGTTGGGAGCTGCCCAGAGTGACTGGGGAAACCCAGCCAGATGGGCGGGGTATTAATAATAATAATAATAATGTTGGAGCGTGTGCTCTCACTCACTACAACCCTGGCCCTTGCAATGAGGCCGAACGTTAGAAGAAAGGTGGGATACAAACTCAATAAACAAACAAATGAACGGCCGGAAACTCCCCACTCCCGGGTTTTCACCCGCAGGCAGGAATATTCTGCAGGGGGAAACGAAGCAGCTCAGGAGGACGACCGGCGGCAACGGCAACAACGGGCAAAGCGAAGACGCGCGTTTCTCCATCCATCCCTCTCCCCGCCTCGCCGCTGGACAAAAGGACCATTCAAGGGGCTGAGGGAAAGCGGGCCCAGCAGCAGCAGCAGCGGCCTACCTCTCCGTTCCCCAGGAAAGCGGCGTGTGTGTGTGGGAGAGAAAAGCGCGCTCCCTCCGCCCGCCCGCGCATTCGCTTCCCCGGCCCCCACGACACCACGGGGGCCGAGGCCTCACTGCTACCCGCGTCCCGCCCCAGGCCTCTCCTTCGCCCGCCCGGCCTTTCTCCCTTCGCTGCCTCCTCCTCCTCCGCTCACTTTTTGTCCGGGCAGATCCAGTCGCCGTCGCTGACGCGGAAATTCTTGGTCGACATTTCGGAAGGCAGGCTCGGCCCGGTGTCTTGTCCCGCTCCTTCCCCTCAGCTCCCCGGAATGACACGAAGCGGAGGGGGGCTGCTGCGCCACTGCCAGCAAATGGGCCTCGGGTGAGGACCCCAGGGGGGGTCCTTGCGGGGTGATGGGGTTGCCTCTGGTGCTGCCTGCTCCGCCGGGCCCGCAACTCTCACACGCTCTGACCCCCGCGTCAAGCGCTCCCTGCTCTCGCGGCTTCTCGGAGCTGCGGGACTCGCGCGGCTCGCCGACGCACACGTCACCACTTATTCAAATCAGGATCAGGCGTTGCGGGTAGACGGCTCTGCAACTCCGGCGGCGGGAAAGAGGAGAGGTTTGCGGAGAGCGGCACCTGGCGGGGGGAGGACCGTACAGCGCTGGGAGGGCGAGATACGGGGTCGTCCAAAAAAGGGTTGATTTGATGGACGGTGGAGGAAGGAAGAACCTGTTTTTCGGGCGGGGAAAGGAAGAGCTGGAATGACTGACGGATCCCCCCTAAATAGATGGACAGCTGTGGAGAGGCTGCCACGTGAGCTTCGATCGCCTAGGTTTTGTTTTCGAAATGAGACTCAGGTCTCTTATCACTGATTCCCCGCTCAGGATTATCCACCTTTTCCCAATGTGCATATACCTGCATTGGTTATTATGATGTCCTATATGCAGATGGGGGTATCTTGTTCCATAGATCGGATGGAATGAACCTCCTTCTTGTTGGTAGGCAAGGGAGTGGCTGGGGGAGACACATAATCTCAAAGACTCTCCCCAGCTCTCTGGCGTTTCTGTTGCTGTCCTTAGGAGCCTGTGACGAGTCTAAGTGAAATAGCTCCCTTCCGCGGCCAGAAGACATTTTAAGTTACACGGTGACTAATAGGGCCTACAACAAAACGTTGCAGTGCAGAATACTCCTGTTCACTCTTACATCTGTGCCCTTCTACACGATGCTGCACTTCAGATGTTGGGGTTTTGGTCTTCCAGATGCTAAATGACAACGGCCACCACCCCTGGCCGTTAAGCCATGCATGCTGGAATTCATGCAGTTCTGCAGCATCTGGGGGGCCAAAGTTCCCCACCCTGCTCCATTGCAACCCTTCTTCCAGCTTGGTTTTCTATTCTTTCCATTCCACAAAAGTCACTCTATGCTCGACAATAGCAATCCAAAATTTTACGTATTTCTTCAAAGCTTGGAGTTCCTTCAGGCTTCCTTACTATTGCATACTACTAGACTTAGTCTACCCACCAACTCTATCATTGTGTCTTGAATCACATTGCTGTAGCAATAATTGAACAGCTTAGTGTGCACACATGTGAGGGCAGGTGCCTATCATGTATAAACAAGCATTTACATAGCACGAGACAACATTGCCTTCCATTCAATCATGTATCCTGAGAAATATCCTACTGTTTGGCACACTGACTTCCGCTTCCTGCTGGTATGTTGTCACCATTGGTTCATTTATTTGCTTATAACATGTTTTCAGTGTGCCAAGAGATCATTGAGTTATAATTTGCCCTGCTAAAGTGGCAGATCTTTTCTGAAACTTGGTGCTGGAAGGAAGGTGCAAAATATCACTAGTGGCGAACCACCTTTAAATGAACTCTAGACAAGAACAATAACTTAGACTTAGACTGCTCCTGGAATAACTCAAAATACAGTGGTACCTCGGGTTACATACACTTCAGGTTACATACGCTTCAGGTTACACACCCTGCTAACCCAGAAATAGTACCTTGGCTTAAGAACTTTGCTTCAGGATGAGAACAGAAATCGTGCTCCGGCGGCGCAACAGCAGCAGGAGGCCCCATTAGCTAAAGTGGTGCTTCAGGTTAAGAACAGTTTCAGGTTAAGAACAGACCTCCGGAACGAATTAAATACTTAACCAGAGGTACCACTGTATATTGCTGACACTGCCACAGAACAAACATTGGGGAGTGTGGTCTTTCTCCTTATAGCGTATTACAGATTCTTTACATCCACCCACCCATGTTCCCTTGGCATCCATGCCAAGGCAGTATGCCAGGACAGTCAGAGGCTTGCATGCCAGAAGGAAACAGCCTGTTAAGGGATGTTTTTTCCACCTTCTGCATCTGCACTCAGTCTTTTTGAGCTCTGGGGCTTGAATCTGAGAGGATTGTTAGGTCAGGTGCATCCAGGCCTTTTATTTTTCACAACAGTGCATCGGCTGCAGACGCACCATGGCAGAAAGGAAAGGAACAGCACCATGGGGTTTGTTCCACATAAGCATGCTGCTGTCCTGTGTGTGGTCTCCTGCCCCATGACAGGGATGGGGAACCTGGGGCCTTCCAGAGGCCACTGGACTCCAGTTCCCATCATCCTCAGTCAGCATGGCCTACAGTTGGGGGTTGTAGGAGTTGTAGTCCAATAACACCTGGAGGGCCACACCCCTCCTGTATGTTTTCTTTTTTTAAGCAGACCATAGGCTTGCTTCAGAAACAGCTTTTCATAATAGCTAATTAATAAAGGACATGACTTAACATCCTCTATCCAGTTTCCTGAAAACCTAGCAAAAGTTACCCATAACAGGTCACATGACTGGAGCTGTATTTCTCAGAAAAAGTAGTCAAAGGTAATACATCAAAGTTGTATTACCAGTGCTTTACTCCTGGTCCCACAGCTATGAGGAATCAGTGCAATTAATACCTAGAATATTCAGTAACACTGTAATTATTTTTAGAAGTGAGAAGAGTACTTAAAATAAGGCACAGAATGCATGCACAAATCTCAGAAAGTGTGCAATTGCTCCCAGAGCTTGACCCTGACCCTGCAGACTGCGCTGACAATCCCATAAGTCACATGATTGTTTTGTCGAGCCTATGGCTGGGAGACTTCTGGGAGCAAATTGCACAGTTCTTAATCCTACGCACAACTAAGAGTGTGTGTTGGCTTCTAAAGCTTATGAGCAAGACTCACATTATCATGCCATGTATTGTTCCTGCTGATACAGTAGGTGGCACTTTAGCAGCACACAATTTTAATACCCAGTGGCGACGGAATATTAACTTGGAGGGTTATCTTTTATTAAAGGTGTAAAAATAAATGTTTTAAAATATAATTGTCAGGTCTATCTGGCAAAATGTAAAATCCATTGTCTCTAGGCATGAGTCATGCTGGGGCTTGAAAGGCAAAATTAGCCATAATTATGGCATTTTAGAATGCAAGTGCGATAAAATGAATTGGAAGACTGTGCTGTCTCTCTGCGTACTTTCCTCTTGATAACATATACCATTGATTTGACTCCTGCAAAGCAAAGGCTTTAAAAGGTATCTTCAAAATAGAATGGTCAAAGGAATGAGAAATAACAAGTCCCCCAACAGAGTAATAATTACATTTATACTGTCAGTTCATATTTACTTTTACAATAAGTAAAATATTTACTCTTCAGAATTGGACCAAAATGTGTATCACGTATTTCTAGCTCTGAAAAGACTTAAAGCAGCGTTCTAAGTTTCCTACATAAGCGCAAATGTTTAAACATTTCTTACATGCTTTTTCTGTCAAGACTGAGGTGCAAAGGCACATACAGTGGTACTTCGGGTTAAGTACTTAATTCATTCCGGAGGTCCGTTCTTAACCTTGAAACTGTTCTTAACCTGAAGCACCACTTTAGCTAATGGGGCCTCCTGCTGCTTCCGCGCCGCCAGAGCCCGATTTCTGTTCTTATCCTGAAGCAAAGTTCTTAACCTGAAGCACTATTTCTGGGTTAGCGGAGTGTGTAACCTGAAGCGTATGTAAGCTGAAGCGTATGTAACCCGAGGTACCACTGTACCAATGAGATGCGGAGTGTTTCCTCAGAATGACTTTGATTTCATGAAATCTCTTTCAGTGCCAAACACTGAACCCAATATCTGCACAGTCTTTATCTGTGCTTCCTTTCACGAAATGAGCTGTGTGATCCGCACCCCAAAGGGCTCTTCAATGTGATCGAGCATCCTAGAATAAGAACTCAATTAAAGGATGACTTGCATGTGTGAAAGTGGCCTCATATGCAGAATCCATATGCAGCAGCTTCTGTTGCAGAATCATAGAATTGTAGAGTTGGATGGGACCACAAGTCTTATCTATTCCAACTCACTGCAGTGCAGCAATCTCTTGCCCAACGTGGGGCTTGAACCCACGACCTTGAGATGAAGAATCTCATGCATGTTATATATCACTTAAACCAAAATCCACTTGAACAAATGATCACATGTTCAGTCAGAAGCAACTGAATTCTGTGTTATATTGAGTAATGTAGAGGCATGTATGAATCAGTCCTGTATTTATCCTTTGAGAGTCAAGTCCTCCTAACAAGATATAAAAATATTAATATCAAAAAAGTCCTCCTTACAAGATGAGAGGCTCCTGTTTCACCCTGGGATAAGTAACAGGGTAAGGCAGGGATGGGGAAACATGTGGCTCTCAGATGTTGTTTGACTGTTTTGGTTGAGCAAATAACAGGGTAAACAACACCAGAAATGCTATCTGGTGGGTGCAATTTAGTATGCAGATACAGTATCCTACGGCTGAGCCAATTAAGTCAGTAAGGGAATGTGTTGTAAGACCCTGAAATTCCTGGTTTATTTATCTACTGGTTATTATTTTAGAATAATGACCGCTCAATTTTAATTGTATAAGTAAGGCCTAACATCTTGTAACAAATGTGTTACTCAGATAGCACACTAAGGGCCAGCTGTTCAGATTGCTGGCTTCGCCGGAATGAGTAATGGTCCCGTCTGCAAGATTATTTATTTATCAATTTGCAGGATTTATAACAGGGTTCTTGGGACAACTTGCAACATTTTAAAATTCAAAAGAATACTGAAGTACAACAAGTCCCAGAGAATAAAAACAGCTTAAAGCTAAAATGTATTAAAAGGTCCTAGAAACAGAAAAGAGGTTTTCCCTGCTGCTAAAAAGACCGTAAGGGAAGTGCCAGGTGAGCTTCTCTGGGGAGAGAATTCTACTGCATGGATGCCACCATTGAAAAGGCCTCATCCAGCCCTCCTATGAGGGTAAGTAGTCATAGACTGGGCTAAGGGTTGAAATAAACGACAGACGAATGGCAAGGTGTCATACGGGAGGCATCTTTCGAGCAAGTCTTGGAGAGTCCCTTTTATTGAATATTACAGCATTTGCCACATATGTGCTTATTGCTGATTGGTTAACATGAATACAATGCAAGGGCATTAATCATGAAGACTGGGAAAGGTAACACATGGTTACTAATGATTGATATTGCATGACTTGAAAGAACATAACAATCGCAGTCCATAGATGTGGTCAACTATGCATTAAGAACAGGTCAGAGTATAATGTTTTCATGAACTGAACATTCTAGGATGATGAGGGAATGTCTTGGTATTAGAACGGTTTGTGCAGCATGTGCAGAAGAAAAGCTTAGAAGCAAAACTTCCCATCATGCCACAGTCATGTGCAGAAGCAAAGCTTCCCTTCACTAAGTAGTCATAGACCAATGGCCCCGTTATCTAACTGTTGTCTCCTGACTAGTTAAAGAATCAGTGCCTCCTTCTACAACTGTTGGTTTCTTTGAGGTAATGGGGTTTTCACTTTTCAGGGCTCTCTTGATCTCCTCAGGTGTTTGGGAACCAGCCACTCAGGGTTCAGGACACAGGGAGCAGACCGCAATGCCTGCATCCACATGGAATGGACTGCAGTACGAACCCATCTCCTTGGAGCTGCAGTTGCTGAAGGACTCGGCTTCTGAGGAAGTCTTGACCTGTGGCCACGACAAATGCTAAATGTGTGCCATGGTGGCGCTTTTGGAATTAAGAAGAGCTCAGCTCTGGCTTTGATGGTGAGGCTACCCAATCTTATTTCATAGATAATCCCCTCATCTCTTGAACTGTTCCTACAAACCTCATGCATTCAGTGAATTTGTGCGGGGAGTGAAGCGGGCTGTGCCATGCACCTGATGCCGAGTCATCTGTTGGCCATGGCCCCTTGTGGTGTTTGTGAGACGGACCTTATAAGTGTACATGAAAAAGGAATCATCTGCATGTACGGCATGCCCTATATCCAGGGTTCCTGAAAGCATGGGAGACCTGGACACACAGCCTCCAAAATTTCTCTGATGAAAATAGGGACGTCCAATTCCATCATCATTTTCCTATTTATACTCCACCCATCTGACAGGCTTCCCCCAACCACATCATGTGTCTTACAACATATATAAAAAATAAAACATTAAACTTTTTTTTTTATAAAGAAACCCTTCCCTATACAGGGCTGCCTTCAGATTGCTCTGGGGTTGGATAATTCCACACCCTGCAACATTTATCCAATGAAAATAGGGATGTCCTAAGTAAAAGTGGGACATTCTGGGATCAAATCAGAAACTGAGACAGGTTCTGTAAATCTGGGACTGTCCCTGGAAAATAGGGACACTTGGAGGGTCTGTGGACATGTATAGGGCCCGTACTGCCCCATTCTCAGTAACACTGAGTGCATAGCCATCAGGGACATGGTCAGCAAAATTATGTTTTTGCATGTGACCACCATGCACAGCCCCCCCCCCCATGTTGCACCTCACCTGCAAAAAGTTCAGCCTATGACTTCTACCTATCCACTCCTGTTTTCTTGCCTGATGCAGTTAACTTGACTACCACCCCCCCCCCAGCCTCGTGGTTTTGGTTGATTTTACTTTATTAAACATTACCTTTTATCTGTTGTCTTTATTTTTGCACATGTCTAATCTGGAATAATTAAGGCATTCTCAGATCAGCTGCCAGGAGCCCTTCTATGAAATGCACATTTAAAAAAAACAAAACTTTTTTTAAAAAAGCGATGGCTTTTGCTTTATGCATATCTGATCACTCCTGGGAATAGCTCCTACTTGCCTATTTGTCCCAGAGGAAAACTTGTGTGAAAACAGCCTCATTCAGTGCCATCTAAATCTTACTCTTTGGGAGGAAAGAAAACAAGGATCAACATTCTCTGAAATTAGTTAATGAGATAGCAGTGGCACAACCATGCGAACTATAATCCACAGTGTTTTGAAACAATAATGGTTTTGATGTTTTTTAAATGCAAATATGGGGAACAGCCCTTCTAGGGAACGTAATGGAACATTTGTATTTTGAAATAATTTTTACCACAAGCTTTTGTGTTCATGCCTTACAGTTGAGCTTTCCATAGGCATCTGGTTGGTCACTGTAAAGACAGAATGATGGGTTAGGTGAGTCTTTGGTTTGATCCAGCAGGGCTTTTCTTAGGTTTGTGGGTGACTGCAAGATTTTTTCTGAAGTGGGGGAATTGATTAGAACAGGACAGGGCTGGTAGATCAGGTGACTAGGCACCTGATAACTGCTGAGGGCTAGACTAGGTAGGCCTGCCCTCTGACAAACTTCCATGCTAGGTGTACAAATCCATTGCTTCTCAGTGGGTCGGCCTAGTATCCACTCACCAGTTGAAGTATGCAGTTCTTTTCTGGGGTCCTTTCAATTTCCTTTTTGAAATGAAGCCAATTAGATAACAATACTGAACTACATTGCAGGGTTGTCCTACACTCACTCATTATCTCCTGACACCACTGCCCAATCATAACTACACTAAAATCTTGGGGCTGCCACACGTCCGGATTTCCCCAGGTATTACCAGGATTTCAAAGGCAGAAGCGATGTCTGGGGGGCGGAATTTCCAGAAGGCTTGTCCTGGATCTTTGGCAAGTAAACAAACACAAAAAAATCGTGTTTGGGGGTTTCCTAAAAAAAGCAACTATGGCAACCCTATTTCTATAGCAACCACTACTGGGGGGGGGGAGAACACAAAGAAACAAGAGACTCAACTACATTCGTAAAGAAACAAAGAATTGAATGTGTTTTAAACATGCAACACCAGATGGTGCCAGAGAGCAGGATTTTTTTTAAAATGACGTTTCCTATAGGAATTTTTTTGTTTGTTAAAATAATCTAATTTCTGACTTATTTATAGCGGGGTCCCCCCCCCCCCTGTGTTTACATCCACTCAATGATTAAAAATGAACAGGGAAGTTCTTCCAGACCATGCATGTGTCAATTCTGCCCTTTTTGTTAATGGGCTAGCTCTGCTTCATTAAATGTGTATCATTCCTATGACCCTCATTCATTGGCTAAAAACACTGAAATGCAAGAGCAGGCTAGTTTTGCATGAAACAAACAATGTCTGCACATCTTGACTCCTACAAGGACTGGAGTTTTCATATATATATTTTTTAAAAATATGGTGATAGTGGCTCATCTGGAAGAGCTAATAATGCTCTCTTTCATCCCCCTTGCATAAACACATGTAATATTATTGGGAAGTCACATTTCTTTGAAATGAGAGAGATCTTTCTACACATTCTTGCTGAAAACAAGAAAATAAGGGAGCCCCAAAGCAATCCACCAATCTAGACAATGCTAATTTATTCCACTTCTGTTTTCACAGGAACACTACTTAGTGCTCTGTTCCCAAAGCATTTTGCAAATGTGTGAATTTTGTAAACCACCAAGCAATGTGCTATTGTTTATAATTTGCATATATATATATATATATATATATATATATATATGGGCTCTCTGTGATAGTAGTGGAAAACACCCCCCCCCCCAAAGCATCATAACATTTTAACTCTCTTGGTCTCCTACAACGTTTGTTCCAATTTTAAAGTGTGACAGACTTTCAGTAATAGAATTTCTGTAACAGATGCTTATAGAGGGGTGTTCACATGTCACTCAAGCTGACATCGCTTGGAAGATATTTTCTTCAACATGTAATTGTTGTAAAAGATAAAAGATTAGCGCTTGCATGTAAATCTCTCGTTACATTAAATGAAGAGTTCATACCTCCTGAGAATGTGCCAAAACAAAACCCAAAAGATAGCAGTAGCTCTAATAAAAATGCTAATACATTTTTAGCAGCCATGCAGTATAATATCTGCACTCTTTTTTATTTATTTATTCCCACATGTCAGTTTTTCTTTTCCTTTGTCATCAATCTCGGTGCTCGGATTTTTATTTTATTTTGCTTCATTTATTATAAATGCAGGTTTGTTGGTTGGTTTATTGACAGCGATCTTTGTGATTCAGATTCATTGCAAAATTATCCCGTTGTCAGGTATGCAGGCAGAGAGAATGCAATGCCGCAGAGAGCACATCCCTAGTCTGAGCTGTAGGCCCCTTGGCATCTAGCCGTACAAGTTAGCAACAATACCTACAGAT